GGTTTGCTGTCAATTGCCTTTTGCTTGTCGCAAACTTCCCCTCCTCCAACTCCAACAAAACCACCGCACTCTTAATTTTTTTAGTGTCTTGTCGTGGCTTCGCGATCGTCAGCGTTAGTTTTCTAGACCCAGCCGTCTCTGCTCCCGCGCCTGACACTCTTCACGCATCAAGCAAGCAGCAGCAGCATCCTGCAGCAAGCCAACAGCTCCGGAAGCCAGTCATCTTGTTGCATCGTTTCCCCTCCTTCCCGTCCGCCGCCACCCGGAATCAGACTACTACCCGGTACCCAGCAGTTCAGTAACCGCGGCTCTTCAGAGAACCACCCCTTCCCCGCGACCGACCGACAAGAGCCGAGAAAAAAAATAAGGGAACCCCTCATAACAAAAACCCCGCGATACACACAAAAACCGCCGCCATCATGAACGCAGCCCGCTTCCTCCGCCGTCCCGCAACCTTCGCCCTCCGGCCCTCCTTCGTCGTCCCCAACTCCTCCTTCTCCGCATTCAACATTGCCCGCACAATGGCTACCGCCGCCAAGATCAAGGTCAAGAACCCCGTCGTCGAGCTCGACGGCGACGAGATGACCCGCATCATCTGGCAGACCATCAAGGACAAGTTCATCCACCCCTACCTCGACATCGACCTCAAGTACTACGACCTCGGCCTGCCCTACCGTGACGAGACCAACGACAAGGTCACCCTCGACGCCGCCGAGGCCATCAAGAAGTACTCCGTCGGTGTCAAGTGCGCCACCATCACCCCCGATGAGGCCCGTGTCAAGGAGTTCAACCTGAAGCAGAGTGAGTACACCTGAACGTATCCGCCTCCGTCACTTTCCTCTCCCCTTCATGCGCCGGCGTTATGGCTGCGTGACTCTGCAAGCAATTGCGGTTCTCCGGCCCCCAACCCCGAGATACTTGTCTCAGTGCCGCCGCCGCCGCCTGCTCCCCGCATTCCGGGCGTTGCGCCGGTAGCTGCATAAAGTTTTCCGGCGCGAGCTCCCGCATGGCAGATGCAGCCCCGGCCCCTCCCGTTCTCCCCGATGCCCTTAGAGTTGTAACCCCATGGCAAAAGTAAACGTACCTCCCTCGTAGACTAACACAATGACCCCTCTCCGCAGTGTGGCTCTCCCCCAACGGCACCATCCGCAACCACCTCGGCGGTACCGTCTTCCGCGAGCCCATCGTCATCCCCCGCGTTCCCCGTCTGGTCCCCGGCTGGAAGAAGCCCATCGTCATCGGCCGCCACGCCTTCGGCGACCAGTACCGCGCCAAGGATGCCGTCCTCCCCGGCCCCGGCACCCTGAAGATGGTCTACACCCCCGAGGGCGGCGAGCCCCAGGAGATCGAGGTCTACAAGTTCAAGGAGGGCGGCGGCGTCGCCCAGACCCAGTACAACACTGACGAGTCCATCACCGGCTTCGCCCACGCGTCCTTCAAGCTCGCCATCCAGAAGGGCCTGCCCCTGTACATGTCCACCAAGAACACCATCCTCAAGAAGTACGACGGCCGCTTCAAGGACATCTTCCAGGAGCTCTACGACACTCAGTACAAGGCCGAGTTCGAGGCCAAGGGCATCTGGTACGAGCACCGCCTCATCGACGACATGGTCGCCCAGATGGTCAAGAGCTCCGGCGGCTACATCATGGCGCTCAAGAACTACGACGGCGACGTCCAGTCCGACATCGTCGCCCAGGGCTTCGGCTCCCTCGGCCTCATGACCTCCGTCCTCATCACGCCCGACGGCAAGACCTTCGAGTCCGAGGCCGCCCACGGCACCGTCACCCGCCACTTCCGCGAGCACCAGAAGGGCAAGGAGACCTCCACCAACCCCATCGCCTCCATCTTCGCCTGGACCCGCGGCCTCATCCAGCGCGGCAAGCTCGACGACACCCCCGAGCTCGTCGCCTTCGCCGAGTCCCTCGAGAAGGCCTGCGTCGACACCGTCGACGTCGACGGCATCATGACCAAGGACCTGGCCCTCGCCTGCGGCAAGACCGCCCGCGAGGACTACGTCACCACCAACGAGTACCTCGACGCCGTCGAGCGCCGCATGAAGAACATCCTCAAGCAGAAGCTGTAAAGTGCCTTCCAGACTTAGAGCGCGGCCGTTACACGTGTGATCTCCGACGAAAATTTGAGGAGGCATACGATGAAGGGCAGGGTTTAGACTAGACCCTTGACAACTGTAGAAAGAAGAAAAGAGAAGGGAAGTGCCGCCTACGGCCTCTGTACCTATGGGCTTTAACGACATTGGGTATTTCTGTTTTGCGCGGTTTGAAGCAGAAACATGAGCAAACGGCATGGGCATACAGGCATCTTAGTGTGTGCGGATTGTATTTCTCGTTTTATTTCTCGTTTTATTTGATATCACATCTGTTTAGCATTTACTTGCGAGGACAGAACGGAGGGCGGGGGAGAGAGTGAGAACAACCTTGGGGGCCATCTGTACATAGGGAAGCGCCCAGTGGTCAATAACGAAACCAACCAATTTTTTGAACACAATCTGGCTGGTAGTCCACTATGTGAGTGTCGAAGAAGATGGCGAAGCACAAAGAAAAAGGTGTCATTTGATTTGCTGCCTTGCCTAATTTACCCCTTGCGAGAAAATGCTCCCGCGATGAATTTCCGTGACGCCTGCCCTGCCTACTACCTGCATGCCCGCCCTACAATCGAGCTCTGCGAGGCTCAGGGCTCCCACCCGCCGCACAGCCAGCCCACCACGAAAACACGTACATGCCGTCGTCTCCTAGTTCTACCTTCGGGAGCACTGATTCTCCCCTGATTGATTTAGTGTATGATGTACAAGTCTAGAAAATAGGCGATTGCGACGAACCGACAAAGAAAAAGAAGAGGAAAAAAAAGACTTTTCGCGCCAACCAATAGTGCTCCTACAACGCGGCAAAGTAGCTATCGCACATCCATCGCACCATGTAAACTTCGAGGTCTTCGCAGCCATGATCGCCTCAGTAGTGACGGAGCTCGGCCAGCCTTCGAAACGTAAGAGCCCCTCTAGTCGTCCAGGGCTGTGCTCTTACGCCCTCTCTTTGATACTGTGGGAGTTCCGGCGTCGGCTCCCTCGCTCTTGCGCTTCTTCTTGGCCGGACGTCCTACAGACCCCCTAGGCCTGTAGCCGCCGTCATCGTCGTCCTTGGCGGCTGCGCGCTTCCTCTTGCCGCGGCCGGTGACCGGCGTGGCAACGGCAACGTCGTCGTCATCCTCTTCCATGGCTTCCCACGCCTCAGCGGCCTCACGCATAGCTGCAGCACGCTCGGCGGCGATGGCAGCCTTCTCCGCCGCCCTCTCGGCGGCCTTCTCTGCGCGGGACGCCGCGAGGGAGGCGCGCTTGCCGCCGCGAGAACCGCGTCCGCCTCGGCTGCCCTCGCCCCTGGCGCCGCCGCGTCGTCTGCGACCGTCGGTCTGCGGTGTCTCGACTGCGTGCTCTTCGTCCCCTACGGCTGCGGCGGCGGCGTTCTCGGCGTCTTGCAGGAACGTCTTGGGTGCGTGCTTACGAAGCCAGTTGTAAACGCTCGTAGGGTTCTTCATGGCGATGCTTTGGGACAGCGCGTGTGGATTGGCTTCCGGCAGGGGCACGTTCGTTCGGGCCGACGGGGCGAGGGTCGGGAGGAGGTGCTCCGGGTCGATGCGCCTGTCGACATCATAGAGGTAGTCGTCAATGTCGTCTGGAGTGAGGAAGGCTGGGGTGTGCGATACTCCGGGGGCGGGCTCCATGTCTGCTACGACGGAGGGGGAGTGCTCCTTTGCTTGAACATAGGTTGAGTGAGGAACGTCCTTGAGAAGGACCGTGAGAGACTTCGTCGGCTTGTTGAGCTCGTCGGTATCGGCGGCCTCGACAGCGATAGCCTCGTCGACGTCGAGCGGGGAATACGGCACATCTTTGGGTGGTGGCTGGGCGATGTCGACGCGTTTGTCGAAGGGAATCTGTGCTGAGGAGTTCATGTCCATGAGCAGATCAAGGATGCGACTGGTAAGAGAAAAGTCAATGCATTGTCGAAAGATTCAGGGGGAAGGCCGTTGATGGCATTTCTGGTGGCTCACTCGTTCTCGATGGCGATTTGCTTTGCAGTAGCGAGCGCTTTCGACTCTTGACGATGCAGCTCCTCGCAATCGTGCATCTTCTGGTCGAACGTGATGCGCATCTTGCGGTACTTCTTCTTCCACGACTTATACGTCGTCTTCCCGTCGCCTGCCCGTCCGTCGTCGGAGTCGTTGTGTTCGTCCTTGACGTCGCGGGCGACGCTGCCATTCGCGTCTTCCATTGCGGCAGGCATGGTGAGTGCGTGTGAGGGTTTTCGAATGCTCGTTCCGCAGGGAAGTAATCAATCGCGACGGCCGAGATGAATGGAGTTTTCGTCGATTGGAATGTGAAAAGGAAAGTGGGCGAGCTACGCTTCAAAAGTTATGGTCGTGCTCATCGGATACTGATGGGGCTCGCTGTTGTTGATGACATTGATGGATAGTTGCAATGGTGTACGGGCGACGTGACCAGAGTTGCGTTGGGGGTTTCCACGGGCGCGCGGATGCAGGGCGAGGCTGCGATCGGTCCTGGCAACTTCTCTCCAGTAGGAGCTTGGGAAAAGCGTCAGTGTCGCTGATACGCCGACAGTGGCGTGGTGATAAGAAATGTCCATCTTGCTTGTGATTGGTGTGGCTTGAGCTGGGGTTGGGGAGTGTGGCTATCACATCTCAAAACTTCACATTTTGCCTTCCACGATCCATCACAACCATCTTTTCAACAACAATCCACAGCTTGGCTTTCTTTTGTAAACCCAAGACTACGATTCCCACGATATCCAGGGTTAACGAAGAAAAAGATTCTTTTCAGAGATACCCAAACAGTTGAGAAAAATTGAGCTGGCACTCTGATAGCGAACGAGCTTTCCTCACCCACAAATCTACCCCTCAGCTGCATGTTCCGCAGCTTTTTCAGAACTAGCAACCCTTTACGAATGGCTGAAAACGCTGCAAAGAGACTCAAGATGTCGCCCGTCACCATCGGCACCCACAACGGCCACTTCCACGCCGACGAGGCCTTGGCCGTGCACATGCTGCGCCTGCTGCCCACGTACAAGGACTCGAACCTGGTTCGTACCCGCGACCCCAAGCTTCTCGAGACCTGCCACACCGTCGTCGACGTCGGCGGCGAGTACGACGACGGCAAGAAGCGCTACGACCACCACCAGCGCGGCTTCACCACCACCTTCCCCGGCAAGGCGACCAAGCTCTCCTCCGCCGGCCTCGTCTTCATGCACTTCGGCAAGGCCATCATCGCCCAGAAGCTCAGTGAGGGCGCCGAGACCCCCGTTTCCGAGGACAGCCCCGAGGTCGAGCTCCTGTACAACAAGCTGTACGAGAGCTTCGTCGAGGCCCTCGACGCCCACGACAACGGCATCTCCGTCTACGACCCCAAGGCCGTCGCCGCCGCCGGCCTCGAGAAGCGCTTCAGCGAGGGCGCCTTCACCCTCGGCTCCGTCGTCGGCCGCCTGAACCCCAACTGGAACGACCCCGTCCCCTCCGACCCTGTCGAGGCCCAGCGCCTGGAGGACGAGCGCTTCGCCAAGGCGAGCCGCCGCATCGGCGAGGAGTTTGACGCCGACCTCGACTACTACGCCAAGGCGTGGCTGCCCGCCCGCGCCGTCGTGCAGGCCGCCTTTGAGAAGCGCACGCAGTACGACCCCCAGGGCCGCGTGCTGGTTCTCGAGGGCCAGAGTGCCCCCTGGAAGGACCACCTCTACTCCCTTGAGGGCGGAAACCCGTCCGTCGTGTACGTCCTCTACCCGGAGAAGCCCGCCCCTGATGCCAAGTGGCGTGTGCAGGCAGTTCCGGTCACCAAGGACTCTTTCGAGAGCCGCAAGCCTCTGCCCGAGGCGTGGCGCGGATTCAGAGACGAGGAGCTCGATGGCATCACTGGTATTCCCGGGGGTGTCTTTGTCCACGCTGCTGGCTTCATTGGTGGAAACAAGACTTTTGATGGTGCCAAGGATATGGCCATCAAGGCGTTGGATCTGTAAAAAAGGTCTTCAAGACGGATTGGCCACTGGGAGGAAGGATATTGGGACATGGGACGGCGCATGGCATCAGAAAAAAGTGTCTTCTGCTTATCAATACATCGGGATCCCATCAATGCCTGCTTCTTGATGTTCGATAACTGTTTGTGACCTGCTGTCTGTGCATGGTATGATATTAACACGGGCGTGACCTGACTAGAAAGTATTCGCACTTTCGTTGGTCCCACTGGGATGACCGGGGACCGCGTGGGTTTAAGGTAGCCATCGGAGTGCTCGCAGGCGAAACAACCCTGTACGACGACCTAGTGCCCTTCCACAACTCATGAACGAACCGGTTGAACGGCGGAGGCCATATGCCTGTTGACACGAATTCTCGATTTGGCTGCTTTGATGTATCGTTCTCTTCCTCCGCTTCAGCCCTTTACACATGTACGGAAAGTCAGACTTCCTGGTAGTCCCGCGCGGAGCGGGAAAGACGGTCAGGGGCGCGGCGTAATACCGCCAGCGCCCCAGCCGTCCATCCATGACAGACAAGCCGACGACATAAGTCCACCTCCACCCAACAACCGATTGTGCTTGGTTTCGCACCCATTCCAACGCCGAGGAGTTTCATGAAAAGATCAACACTTCATCATAACATCGTAGTAGAAATCCAACTCCCCGACAAACACCCAATTTGCCTCCGGGGAGTTTCCGATAAACACCCGTACAAAACCTGGGGTAACAAGACAGAGAAAGGACAGCGGACTAAGGCACTCGGGCAGACCCCTCATCTTCGGATGGGGATGGCCTCGGTCTTTGCAGCGCCGTCAATAACTGGCGTGCTGTTCTCGTTGTTCTTGTTCTCAGCCTCATCGGCGCTGGTCTCTCGGTTGAGGAAGCTGGACTCCTTCACGGGGCTGCCGGCTTGGGCTCCGCTGGGAACGTTGGAGTGATGCTTGGCGCCGTTGTTGAGGGAGGAGGAGGAGTTGTTCACAGGGCTCGAGAGGTGAGGGATGTTCTCGGGGACGGGGTGCTGGCTGCCTACAGCACCAGTATCGACGCTGTCGCCCTTGCCGGCCTTGGACATGGCATAGTCGCCCGAGTCGAAGTACTTGCGCTCCTTCAAGTGCTTGGCGAAGTGATCGGAGCGGGAGGGGAGCTTGCCGTAGAGGCGGAAGAGACGTTGCTCCTCGGGAGAGAGGGACTGTGAAAAATACGGTCAGCGGGCGATATTATTTCACAGGCTGCGGTTCATCGAGTGGCCGATTGTGTGCGTTGTGATGCAATCGCGGGCTTCGTCGTCAAGGTGGGGGCCATTGGGTAGGAAAGAGGGCGTGGCTGGTGCCAACATACCGAGACGTCGATCTTGTTCTTCTGAAGAGGGTTCATTTTGACGGCAGAAGTCGCTTTCGGGCTTTGGTGTATGAGAAGTATTGGGGCTCGGTAACGAGGGATTTGACAGCTTCTCAGGTTACGAAGAAGAAGAGCCGCGGGAAAGACGATCGAAGGAGGAGGACGTTGATGTAGACGGAAGTGGGATGCAGTGCGAATGTGACGGGACTTGGAGGTGCAGTGGGTTGGTAAGGCGGCGGGTGCGTCCTGTGCTGGTGGTTTTTAGCGGGGCCCCTTTCTTTTTGGAGAGGAGGGGAACGGCATCCGTCAGTGTAGGTAGGCCATTGGCTGGCGGGTGGACACAGTGAAGTCAATCTGGTTCGCCCTTCGCTGGTGAAGGCGGAACGGGTAGAGGCAGGGGTACGTACCTTTTCTGGCGAAGTATCGCTCTATCAGTCAGGTCGCCTGGAGATGCGGGCGGTGAAATTCAAAGTCGCCGCTGGAGTTGGAGAATGCTTAGAAGGGAAGTTTACAGACAGCGATGTGAACAGGTGGGCAAGACACTTATGCGACAAGAGTTGCCTTCTGGAGTAAACAGACACAACAAGGTGAGCAGAAATTCGCATGACCATTGGGGTCAGGATTTCGGCGGTTTTTGATTGCTAACTATAGACTGGGAAAATTCGGTTTCATCTGGTGGTTCCCGTGGAACGCAGAAAGCATAGCCATGTCCTGGACAGGAGACGAAAGGGTCCAGCAGGCCGAGGGGCAGGCCTGGATCCAGGAGCCGGGAAAGGAGGGGAGGCAAGGCAAGGCAAGGCAAACAGCCACTCCATCCCGTCGTCGTCGTCGCCGTAGCCGTAGCCACTGCTGCGACCTAGTGGTTGCATGAATGTTTACCGTCCGTGTTATTGCTACCTGGAGTCGTTTCCCTGCTCTCGGTTCCCAGTCACCAATTACCAGCTCACGGCTGGCTGTCTGGCCGACCTTTCTTTGCCCTGTCTTGCTTTTGCATCGCACATCCAGGTATTGTTGTTGTGGTTGCTGCTGCTGCTGCTGCTGCTGCTGCTCCCTTGAAGCCCAACGCGTTGCTCTGTTGCGTCAATGCATCAGACCCCAACGACTCCAATTCTCTGGCTGGGCTTTGGGGCTGGATGACACACGAACAACGGGGCTTTAGGGAAGACAGGACCCTGGTTTGTTAGCCCGAGACTTGGGGGCCGTCCATTGGCTGCGGATGCAGCGAGCTGGGGTTTCCTTCCGGCTCGAGACATGGCTCACCTTGCGGATGGCTCTGACTGCTTGCTGGAAGTCCCCATCGTCTTTCTAACGGTGCTGTCCTGACCTGACCTGGCCTGAGTCTTTACTTTCTCGGTCCATCATCTGTTTGCATCCTCCCCATTGGTCTGAGATGCTTTCCGCAAGGCATTTTGTCTGAGCAACAGCAACAACAACACAAACACGCGCGCTCACGACTCATTCTTTGGCCAATGTCGCGCTTCAATGGGCCGTTTGCTCTTCTTCTTCTCGACCGATGCCAGCAAGTCCCCGGCCATTGGCACCGCGACGTTCCGTCCTGCCGGAAACCTTCCAGTTGGTCACTTGACCACCAGGCCCCCGTCCCCAACGGGAAAGGATGAGCTGCGTTCTCGGGACTAGTTGCAGTTCGCATCTGCCATTCTGTTTGGACAACTCCCACACTGCCACAGACGAAATGCGACGCCCTTCTCGGATCAGCCAAACAGCTTTCGCTGGCCCCCACCGAGACACAGGATTCCAAGAAGGATTCCAAGATTTCGCACGTTGATTCTCTTGTCCTTCCCTGAAGATCCTCAGGGTCTTGAGTGACTGCAATGGCCACCCGATCTACATGGCCTTGATGCCGGACACTCGTTGGGCCCATTTGGGCCGTCCGTGGTACCTGCGGCTGCCCCGCGGCTCGCATATCCGGGAACGCTATCATGGCCACACCCAAGCTCCGAGCCCTCACCTTCACCATGCCAAACGTCCACTCGACTGGTGTCACTTCTTATCAGCATTTACCTGGATGATGGCACTCACAGGTGCGACGGCTGGTCGAAGGAGGGGATGATCCCCAACGCTGATATGGCACCTAAACCCCCAAGTGACGTAAAACGGCCATCCCTGCCGTGCCACGGTGGAGAATGGTCAAACGACGAAACCACCTCAGAGCTCGTCGACTTACAAGTGTGTCCTGCTAGACACCATCAACCGGCCTCCAAGACTTTGCAAACGCCCTCGGTCAATGCTATCTTCCCCCGCATTCCGCCCCCAAGGTGGTCTCGACTTGTTGCCCTCTCATGATGCGCAGGGAGCAAGTGCCGCTCGTCACAACCTCGATGAACGGGGGGCAGCCTAGCCTACCATTCAGCTTTCTTTTCTTTCTCTCCCACTCACACCACCTTCAGTCGCAAAAGTCAGACTGCCGTCCTCGCCGAGGCCACCCCATGAAGCACGAGGAAGCACAAGAAACTTCGTAGCGATGGTAGCCGGGGCTCTTTTCATGTCTTCCCGCACTCAATGGGATGCTTCTGCTACCCTTCTTTCCGTCCATGGCTCCATCTGCCGCCGCAAGACTACGACCATCATACGATCCCGCGTGGTTGGTGTTGCACAGTCAAGACTTGACAGCCGTCAGTCCCCTGCTGGCTCGGCGGCGTGCCCACGCTTGGCCTAACGCCGCTAGCCGCTGATAGAGTTTCCCGCTCCGGTCCCCAGGGTAGCCTGCATGCGCATGCTGCCATCCTACCGAAGCCCGCCATTCCCGTCTCGTCTGGCCTCAAAAGCAGAGTTGGAGCTGGAGATGCGTTCGGATTCTTGGGGGACAGCATGCCTTTTTCACTCCCGGCCGAGGCCCCGTTCGTTGTTGATACCCCGCTTATCAGCCTTCGTTGCATGCATGTACAAGCGCCAGACATGAATCGTTGGATTACCATCCTGACCTCGTGATGATGGTCATCGCTTACACGCATTCGCGAACTGTCACAGCAGATACGTCCCATGAATTAAGTATTAAGCTGCTACCAACAAGCATTACATGGCCTGCGCCGTCTCAAGAAGAATCGTCACACCGAGCTTTCCGAGAAACTATCCCTGTCTGCACCCGTCACCGAATGGTCTAGATCAGTATCTGCTTCTCCTTCTTCAACTGCTGGACAAACTCAATCGGAACCTTGAGGGTCTGAGCTACAATCTCCGGCGGCGTCAGGGCGAGCCACTGGGTGAGAGGAACGTCGGCGACCCTGTCTGATTTGTACAGCTCGATCCACACGAGATCTTCCGTGTCGGAGGTGTTCTCGATGTAGTGTCTGCCGGGAATCTCCTTCGTCAGTAACGGAATCCGGCACACTCTGCTACGGAAAAGCGGGGCTGACTCACCCGGAGTTGTCGGGAAAAGCGGCCGTGTCTCCCGCGGAGAAGTCAAACGTCCGCGCCGCTGCGTTGCCGATGAAGACGGTGGCACGGCCCTCGCCCTTGTGGAAGTACAGCCACTCTTCGGCCTGGAAGGCTGTTAGAAATTCAAGTTCCGAGTCCCGGACAAGTGTGCGCCCTTACGTTTGGGTGCCAGTGGAGCTCTCTCAAACCTCCCGGCTTTAAAGTGACAAACGTTGCGGCGATGGTCTTGCTGATGGGAAAGTTGGTCGAGTCTATCTTTCTGAACTCGCCGCCGTTGCCGGGCACCACTTCCGCTGGATGTTCCAGGGTGCGATACACGAACGAGCTGTTGCCTGAAAGGTAGCCATTGGCACCGGCAGTCACGTTCTGGGTGGCGATGGTGCCGTTGAAGATGTATGGGTTGGTGGACGGCAACTTCTCAAAGACCGAAGGGTCGACGCCAAAGTTCTTGGCCAAGATATCTCGAGGGGTGTGAGCAAGCCAGTCGACGATGTTGAATGTTGTGCTTTTGCAATGTCAGCAGATCCGTCCCTTGTAGTGAGGGAGTACGCACCCGATCTTGTCAAAGTCAGCCTCGTCAAACGCAAGCAGGTACTCGTTCTCATCGTCGAGCCCCTGAATTGTGTGTGGCAACCCCTTCGGAAAGTACTGTTATCATCATGTGAGCAAACATCCAAGCATAGAGGATCGAGTGTGAATACCCAGATATCTCCATAGTTCAGCTTCTCAGCTTGGTACCTGCCATTCTCATCGACTGCCGACACAAGCACGGAGCCGGAGTAGACGATGCCCCATTCTGCCTGTCCGCCATGCAATGTCAACACATCGTTCCGCACGGGAAGATAGTGGGATGGACATACCACTTTGTGCCAGTGAAGCTCTCTAATGGCCCCCTTTCTGAGATGCTGCTGGGCAGCTGCAATGTCATGGCTCTGGGGCAGATCCTGGATGACCTGCTCGCGGACCCAGCCTCCGTTGAGGATCCGGGTCTTGGAGTCGGAGAATCTCCACTTGAGGTTGGGCACCACGCCATTGTCGGTTGGCTGCTGGCCGAGATTGTCGGGGTTATCTCTGTCGACTTGGTTGTTGGTGCCGCCTGTGCTCTCCCGTGTCAGTGAGGTATTCGAGGTATTCGAGAAGGCAACATACCAAGGATCGGGCCTCCCTTGCCGTTGGCGTCGATGGGCTGGCCGACGTTAAACTGCGCGTCTCGCTTCTCGTTCTGGGGTGCCGCGTTGGTGCTCGAGGCGATCGCTGCGAGGCCCAGCAGGGAAGCTTGGAGGAGTCTCATGATGAGCGGTACAACGAGTGACTGAAAGCCGGCGTAAAGACACGACTGGCAACTGTTTATGCCAGAGTCGAGTGACGTTCAAAGAAAGGGAGGATTGCCCTCGTCTCAGCATTGCCTTTATACAACCACAACTTCCACGGCCGTCCGTCTATGAATCTGTTATTACACAGCATACCCGCGCCAGCGATGGCGGAATGCCACACGGCGCATCACGTTCAAGCCAAGCCATGGCGTCTTGCAACTCGGCAGCAGCAGGTCTGCAGCATTGTGCCTCTCGCAATGACGACATTGAACTATTGATGCTACCTGGTAATTTTGAGTCGCCAATATCTCTTTCGCGCTGCAGCTCTAGCTCCGAGATCGTCAAGAGTTTTGTCTTTGAACGAGGAATTTTGGTTGTGTTGACCCCGGCCATTCGACATTTCTCCGAAGATCACGACATCGAAGGAAAGCGTGGGGGGAGGGGGAGGTTGCTTGAGGGCTGCACCTGCACCGGTCAGGCGCGCCGATCGCTATGGGGCCGGATCGTGTTAGCTTGGAAAGCTTAGTTTGACCGGTAATTTTGTTTCGTTTCTTGGCTTACATGAATTTTGGGGTGGGGGTGCCTGTTGTTGTTCCTCTCGTTTTTGATGTTGTTGAGGTGTGTTTGAGTACCACGTGCTTTTCACGACCCAAGAGGCGTCGGTCAACACATGCATTGCAAAGGTCATCCTGCCACTGTCTTCGAGAGGTCGCCCATTTGAACTGTGGCTATACTCTACCTTACCATTGTCGTCGTTGTCGTCGTCGTCCTCCTCCTCGCCGCTATTATTGTCATTACTTCTACCATCGTCTTTGATCGGGGCCATCGAGTACTAGTATCCATGTGGGAAAATCAGGCGGTCTCTTTTTCAAATTGTATAAGTCACTTGGTTTCGTCTTGGATTCTGATAAAAATAATAAAAACGACCGTTTTAGTAAATCATTGTCAGTAGGGTGCGTTTGAGCGCGAAGATAAATATTACGTCCAAACGTTACCGTGCTGTCCAAAATTCAAGTATCTCTTCTTGCGCTTGATTCGACAACATCGAATCATCGTACTCAAGGACATGGTATTGATCAAAGCAGGTTGCCTCAGTCTCCCTTGTCTCTCAGCCTCGATCTAGATAGTAAGTTGCCGCTACAGACCCTGACTCTTTCAAGAGTCTACGATTCGTGGGGCATGATGCCATCCCACGCTATTGGAATCACCAACCAACCTAAGCATATTCCTCTTTATCTCATAGGCATTGATCGACATCCTCATCTTAGTCCAAAATCTTTCTAATTCTGCTTCTTTTTAGCCATAAAATCGATCATGCGCGTGACTACCGGCTAACGCTGGCCGACGATCCTTCCTGCTCTTGTCTTTGGTGATCACCGCGAATACCAGGGGCTTGGGACCTTGTGTGTAAGTCCACTGCCGAATTGAGACAATTCTGTGTTCAGGTCTTCTTTTTGGGCATCTTGGCATCTTCGGAAGTCAGACTTACCGCTGTTGGTCACGATGGCGACATCTCCAAACCTCCTTCTGGCGGTGTCTATTGCGGCTGTGATATTGCGATGAACATCGTCAGAATGTTTTGGAAAAGTCACTTTCAGCCATGTGCCGTACTGCGCGGCTAGATGGATTACAACTCTGAATATCGCGACCAAAAAGGTCTCTTCGTCTTCGACGGCGCGGATGAGGAGCTTTATTGGCTTCATGATGCGATTCCCAAGGGAGGTTGGAGGTTTTGCTCGGCACGGCAGATTACAAGCAGAAGAAATCACGAGTTTTGAACATAATGGACAATTAGGTATAAGAAGCATATGAGTTTTCTCTTTCTTGAAAGACCCAGATCAGCATCACCAGGCAGACTTCGCCGGCCCTCTTCAATCAAGCAAGCATTCCCCGTCTGTCGTCTCCGTCTGTCACCTCCGTCGGTCGTCTTCGTCTGACATCTCCGTCTGTCACCATGCTCTCCAAGCTTTCATTTGCAGCGCTCGCGAGCGTCTTGCTCTCTCCCGTAGCGGGAGGGCCTGTCAACGCCAACGATCACTCCCCCGCCAGCAAGAGATCTCCACTCGGACTCAGTCTGCCTCCTTTGATCCCCTCCATCCCAGGCGTTACGGAACCTCTTGCTTCCAACGCGCCGCCCCTTCCTATTCTCCAGATCCCCACGCCTCCCATCGATAGCCCCCCTTTCACGGGTGCCAACATCAAGCCCAAGAAGATTGGGTACTTCTGGACCGGAGCAGGTGACAACATTCACAAGGACTTCCTGGTAACTGCGAGTCTGGACGACGTGCGTGACGCCCATATTCTCCCCTGTCCGATGTGTGAGGGTTTGAAAGTATTGACTGGTTTGGGCGTTTAGGATACTTTTGGGCAAATCATCACTGTCACGGATGTCCCTACCAGTGGCAACTCGCCTCATCACTTGGGAAGCTCACTCGACGGCAAGACCCTCATCGGAGGTGGACTTCTCTCACTGTTGAAGACCCAGGATACGGCTTTCTACTTTGACGTGTCGAACCCGTATGCTCCCAAGTTTAAGAAGTCCAACCGTGCTCTTTTGAGCTCTATTGTGGACGAGATCAGAGCTAAGCCTGAGGGGTAAGTATCTTTCCACATGATTCGTCCCTTCTCATCGGTACTCCCGCGACAAGTGACTGACTAGTTTAGTGGATTTTTTATCACCTACATGGGCAGCGCAGTGGGCACCTCACCTGGTCGTCTCGTCGAGACGAACGCCGAGGGAGATATCATTCACGAGTGGCCTGAGGATGTTGCTGGCACGCTGAACATTCTCGGCGAGCAGTTCAGCCCCCACGGTCTGGCTGTTGACTTCAATAAGGGCATCATCTTGACCTCTGACTTTGTTGTTCCCATCACGATCCTCAAGCCGACCCTGGGTATTCAGAAGGCTAGCACCCTGAGATTGTGGAACTTGTCTGACCGGACGATCATTTCGACCATCACCATCCCTAACGTGAGCCCCTTTTAGTCGAGGATCTCGGAATTCAGACTGATGCACCTTTTTCCAGGGACTCGGCATCCAAGATGTGAAGTTCATCCCAGGTAACCCCGAAAGCGCTGCCATCGCAACGTAAGTCTCCCGCAAGCTGTCTCCGCACAAAGCTGTCTCCGCACAAAGCTGTTACTAACAACCTCTCCTGCCAGCGCCGTCGGCCCAGGTCAAGTCTGGATCATCTACCCCTTCCGCCGCGACTCGTCCGGCAAGCAGGGCGTCGCCGAGCTACTGTACGACCTCGGCTCTAAGGCGAAGGACTCCCTGGCTATCTACTCGGACATCAGCGACGACGGCAAGCTGGCGTACTTCACCATCACCCTCGGCAACCACGTCGCAGCGCTCGACATCTCGGACCTGAACAACGTCAAGAGGCTCGACGACCCGAACGAGACGCAGCCCATCATCGGGCCGCACTACGTCAAGATCAGCCCCGACAAGAAGAACCTGCTGGTTACCGGATACTTTGTCCAGGGCGGCGATGTGAGTGGCTCTCCAATCATATCCGATGGACTTTTGGCTGACCTTGTCTGAAACAGATTTCAATTGTCAACACCCCTGGAGACTACAAGGGCCACTGGATTGACATCCTTCCCAACGGAGGTCTCAGCTTCAACAGAACGATCGATTTCGAGAGCATCTTCACCCGCGACCGTGGTGGTGCTCGGCCTCATTCATCCGTCATTTTCGACCTTACCGATCCCGAGAACCCCAAGTACTACTGAAGGGATAACGACGGATTGATGTGGCAGTGTAGTGGTGACATACAGCTCTGATCTGACTATGGAGAATGTGACTTTGTTGTTGCCTCGTTGCTGAACCTTCTATTTCCCTGTTGATAGTATCCCTAATGCTCTGATAGTCCTTGCTTAATTGGTGTTATTGAGACCACCTATCTTTTTTGTGTCTTTGTGAACATGTATCCCATGTTTGAACATACTCGAAGCTTATATAGTCGATCAAAGTAGAAGTAGTAATGACAGCAGAGCTGACAACGACGACTATACTAGAGACGACGATAGCAGACGACGATAGCAGACGACGATAGCAGACGACGATAGCAGACGATGATAGCAGACGACGATAGCAGACGACAACGATGAAGTTGAGACGACAAAGACGGCAGAGACGACGACGACCGTAGATACCATGGCAATGGCAGAGGCGTTGTAATAAGTAGGGACCAAACTAATAGACTCTCGCGCGTCTGTAGTGTTCACCGGCGCAGCCAATCATCGCACATCGATTGAAAGGGCCCTCATAAGCAAATGATTCAAAACGTGGTGCTCTAGGGCGTTCGGACTGAGGCCATCGCGACGGGCGACATCCTCGAGAGGATTGAGCCGGGCCCGGTCTGAGAGGTACGTTGTCCAGGTTGTTTACTGCTCCTACCATACAGTTGAGCTTCCGTAGTATTCATCACCCCAATTCACGGGCTTGGCAGGTGTGGGTGGATGCAGCTTCCTCATCCAATATTGTGCCGGGAGCTGATGCAGCAAGAAGCAGCGACGTCGGGTTAAGCGTTTGTGCTCCACAGGGCAATCTGGCAGTGCCCGAATGCCGCTGCGCGCTAGCACTAACAATTTTCATCACAGGCAACCTCAGTGGGAAAGTGCGTCATTGGCCCGCGCATCCCCCAAGACATGGACTCAAGTCCGGCCGACACTTCCGTGTCGCACAATGATCCCTCCGCACGTTCACGTTGAGCTGAACGCTCAGACCCTTGCATCCCGTAATCCGTTTCTTCCATCCAACTTCACTTCGTTTCCCCATGTTTGAGTGACACTACACCTTCACATCGGCAGTGACTCAAAATGCCGGCAAGACAGAGCTTGGATAAGAGCCCGGCCGTTCCGGCGGCTGTTGCCTCCACAGCTTCCCCAGGGAAGAAATGCTCACGAAGTTCCTTATTATCCCGGCTTTGGGTAGTTTTTTCCTTTTTGGTCATTGTCAACTTCATCTTGCAGACCTACCTCTTTTTCGGCAGTTCGAAACGGCTTCCTGGCAAGCTCGACACTGCAAACGTGGATGCAGACAATGATGTTTACCTTCTTGGCGCTGGTCGCGCAGACATTACCGGTCCGGTTGTGGAAATCAACATGATGGGATATGCAGACCCCAAACAGCTTGGAACCGGCCTTCGCCAGAGGCTCTACGCCCGGGCTTTCATCGTCGGAAGCGTCGATCAACCGGATGATCGATTCATCTACGTCGTTCTAGACACACAGTCCGGGGACACCGCGGTCCGGTATGGCGTTTTGCATGGCCTTGCAGACCTTGGCTATGAGTATTCCATGTACGGCCATCACAATCTAGCTCTCACCGGAACACACTCCCACTCTGGACCTGGTGCTTGGCTCAACTATCTTCTGCCACAAATCACCAGCAAGGGCTTCGACAAGCAGAGCTATCGTGCCATTGTTGACGGTACTTTGCTCGCCATCAAGCGTGCCCACGAGAGCTTGGTGCCTGGCCATCTCACCGTTGGAACTACGAAGGTCAAGGGCGCCAACATTAACCGAAGCTTGTATGCGTACATGGCAAATCCTGAGGAGGAACGTGCCAAGTACAATACCAGTGCCGAAGAAGACGGATCTGTTGAGAAGGACTTGACATTGCTGAAGTTCCAAAGAGCATCTGACGGCAAGAGCCTTGCCGTTTTGACGTGGTTTCCTACGCACGGCACGTCGATGCTCGGCAACAACACTCTGATTTCGGGAGACAACAAAGGCGTGGCAGCTTGGCTCTTTGAGAAAAGTGTCCGTGGGCAAGATCACGTAACGTCGAACTTCATCGCCGGCTTCTCCCAGGCCAATATGGGGGATGTCAGTCCAAACGTTCTCGGCGCCTGGTGCGAAGATGGCAGCGGTTCGCAATGCGACTTCAAGACCAGCACCTGCGGTGACGGCCGGAGCCAGAAGTGTCACGCCCGAGGCCCGTTCTTCCGAGAGAAGGATAACGGAGCCAAGTCCTGCTACGAAATAGGCAGAAGACAATTCGATGCCGCCAGGAGACTGTATGACGAAATGGGTGACAATGCTCAGCGAGTACGCGGATCGTGGGTCAAATCGTTCCACACTTTCCACAATATGTCCGAGTTCCAGTTCGAGCTCCCCAATGGCACCGAGGTGCGGACTTGTCCTGCGGCACTTGGATACTCATTCGCGGCCGGAACCTCTGACGGGCCTGGCGCGTTCGACTTTACCCAGCACGATTCGAACTCTTCAAACACATCCCCATTGTGGAAGGTCGTTTCTGGCTTGCTGAAAGCCCCGACCCAAGATCAACTTGCTTGTCATTCTCCTAAGCCAATCCTGCTGGACGTGGGCGAGGTTTTTAACCCGTACCAGTGGACACCCAACATTGTTGATATCCAAGCTTTCCGAGTCGGCCAGTTGGTCATCATTGTCAGTCCAGGCGAGGCATCAACCATGGCGGGACGTCGTTGGAAAGATGCCGTCAGGGCTGAGGCCGAATCATTGTTCAGTGACGAAACAGCAGTCAAACCTATTGTGGTAATCGGTGGACCGGCGAACAGCTATACCCACTACATCACAACTCAACAGGAATATGGGTAAGTGTGGGATGTCATGACATGTTGTCCGCTACTGCTAACGATTTCCACAGCATTCAAAGATACGAAGGTGCATCAACGTTGTATGGACCTTATACGTTGGACGCGTACATCAATCGCACTCTGACGTACCTGCCCACGCTGGGCGCCTCGTCTGCAAAGGCTCCGCCGTCGCACGCCGGGCGCCCATACCCTCCGGACAATAGCGACCGTTCCTTGAGCTTCATTACTGGTGTTGTCCGCGACGGCACACCAGTCTTCCGCAGTTTCGGTGACGTGAAGAAGGACGTGGAACAGAAGTATTCGATTGGCGATGTGGTGCGTGCCACATTTGTCGGAGCCAATCCCCGGAACAACCTGCGTCTTGAAGGAACCTACGCTGCTGTCGAGCGTCTCGTCATCGATGTTGGCGGCATTAAGAAATGGGACACTGTACGAGACGACCAGGACTGGAGTCTGATATTCCACTGGAAGCGAACGAGTGATCTCCTGGCTACCAGCGAGGTGGAGATTACGTGGGAGACGGAGGAGGATGTGGAAGCAGGGACATATCGCTTCCGGTATTATGGCGACTCCAAGTCGTTGGGCGGCACAATCACCAGCTTCGAAGGGGTTAGCGGGCAATTTGAACTGCATTGAGGGCGGTTGCTTTGGGCGTTGGTTTAATTATGGTACTGGATGGGGGCTTTGATACCCTGCATTTCTTTTTTCGGGCGGGAGCATGGCAGGACTAGAAATCACAGATTGTATGACTGACGAGGCATTGATTTACGAGACGTAGAATTACTTTCCTGCGTCGACAATCGAGAAGAGACGGAATACGGTAACCACATCGCCGCAATGGCACGAGTGACCACTTGTTTTTTCTTGGTTCGCGAGGCCGGTCTCAGTCGAGACAAGCTGTGCCGCGGTCCTGCGTCGGGCAGTGCCGAGACATGTACTCGGAAATTGAGAGGTTGAGTTGACGTGCATGCGCCTTCTTTGTCCCCTCGGCGAATCAAGTTGTACGTCTATGTCCACCGTCACCGAGGTGGCGCTTCTGGAACCCACCTACGGATAGAGCTTTTAGAACTGCGTTCTCGGTCGTCTCGTGTCTCTCGTTTATCGGATCCTTGGGAGGACAAGAACGTCGAGCCCTGCTCATGCGGGGAGAAAAGCAGTTCGGTCGCTGGCAAACCTTGCCTACCGCGGCAAGCGTGGAGATTTTGACTCCCTGAGGATGCATGGGCGTGAACTCCCGCCGCCAATGGGGAATCGCCGCGCCCTCTGTGACGCGCCCCACTTGATGGATCCGCCCCGCCGGGAACCAACTGGCGGACCTGGGAGTGTTACACATTGGTGGGCGTTTACTGCAGGGCAGCACTCTTCCCAAGAGTCTCTGATTCATCAAGTTGTCATTGTCGATGCATGTTTGCTATCTGTTGGTCTGCTCGTTTCTTGTTTTCAGAAGTACAACAGGCTATCTGCTGCCGGGAACCGTTTACCGCCTCGAGGAACCTTTCATCTGACCAAAGTCGAAGTCTGTTGATCTGAGACTTGACAGGGGATAATTCCCAGCGGTGTGCAGATTGGAGAGAACAGTTTGTTCTACGCCCCGACCTATCATCGATCCGCCCATCGTCATCTCTCTGAGCTTCTCCCCTACCAACGAATCACGTGTGGATAATTAGCAAGAGAGGGAGCAAACACGCTCGACGAGATCCATAGAGCTAAAGCTCACGCTACCCATTCAAGTTCGTAACAATGGGGTAGGGGTTGTGCTAGTTTCGGGTCGAGCGCACTCCGAAACCAGAGCTGTCGACCCCTGCCCACTTGCTGCCACATGGGGGCTTGTCCCGTGTTTGCTTGGACGTTTCTGTCCCTTCTTTCGTTTCTTCCATTGCTCTTCTGCTAAATCTTCCTTTATTTTTCTTCTGCTCTTTCCAGTGTCTGGGTGACGTGCTCATTTCCTTGTGATCATAATTCATCATCCTATTAAATCTTTTCGAGGTTGAACCAGGGGAGGACGAAGAGGCGTCTGGAGGTCAATTGCCGCCAATTGCACCCGTTTCAACCCACCGGCTGGCTATAACTTCTATCGAACACCCGGCTACCCACTCTATCGTACCTGGCTACTTCGACTCCTCGAAAGTCCATTGACGTTGTGGGATTCGGCATCATGGTGTCATCCATTTATGCTCTCGTCGGGGCGGTGGTCGCCTATGGTGTCTACTCTTACGTCTCTGGCTTGCAGCGCAACATAGCTGAGGCAAAGAAGTCTGGCTTGCCTTACGTGGTGTCTCGTATGTGTCCACGATGTGTTGGGATTCGCCTGATATTGACTGTGGATGTGCAGCTATTTCGCCATTCTCGATGCTTTGGCAGCTAACACACAAGCTCTGGCTACCCATCATTAAGACCCTTCCAAAGACATGGTGGGAGGACTGGCTACAGTCCGTACCAAGACAAACTTGTCCTCTCCTCGTTATGCTAACTCCAGAGCAGAGTCGCGATTCCTAACTGGTCCTACGACCTCCTCCACGAACCCTTCGCACGCCACGGCGAGACATTCATGATCGTTTCCCCGTTCCAGATCCTCATCCTAACCGACAGCGCCGAGGCGATCCACCAAATCACCCAGCAGCGCGAAAAGTTCCCCAAGCTCGTCGAGACGTACGCGATCCTCAAGCAGTTCGGCGAGAACGTCCTGACCACCGAGGGCGCCGCCTGGCGCATGCACCGCAAGGTCACCTCCGCCACCTTCAACGAGAAGAACGCCGCCCTCGTGTTCGCCGAGTCCATCAAGCAGGCGCAGAGCATGACGCAAAAGTGGCTCGGCGCGGACGGCAAGGGCACGAAGACGATCGAGACGCTGGACCACGACACCATGCGCCTCGCGCTCAACATCATCAGCTACGTGGGCTTCGGCATGCGGCTGCTTTGGCCGGGGCAAGTGCTGCCTGCGGGGACGGACCCGAAGCTTACCAAGTACAGCTCTCTGGAGGCGCCGCCGGGACATACGATGAGCTTCGTGGATGCGATTGCCGAGATGTTGGAGCATATTCTGGTCTTGTTGCTGGTTCCGAGGTGGCTCTTGAAGAGGCTTCCGTTCAAGTACACGAAGCTTGCGATGGACTCGCACGACAACTATGTGCAGTACATCGACGAGTTGATGCAAGATAAGATTGAGGACCTGCAAAAGGGCGATCACGGGGACGCAGGCATGGATCTGATGGGCCAGCTTGTGAGGTCAAAATACGGCAACGAGGGAGAGATCAATGGAGGCGCCAACGGTATCGTCAGCAAGGGTAAGGACTCGAAGATCCCCCAGTTGTCAAAGTCAGAGATTACCGGCAACGCCTTCATCATGCTTGTCGCGGGGCACGAGACGACAGCGAACGCCATGCACTTTGGCTGCATCGAGATCGCCTGCAACCCGGCCGTCCAGCGACAGCTCCAGAAAGACATTGACGGCATCTTTGGCGACAGCGATCCCAGCACGTGGAACTATGACAGTACGGTCAACCCCATGCTCGCGTCGATGCTGGGCGCCTGCATGAACGAGACGCTGCGCATGACGCCGGCCGTGACGGAGATCCCTAAGAAGGTCAACCCCGAAGGCGACGGCATCGTGACCCTCGACGGCGAGAAGCACGCGCTGCCGCGGGGTGCCCACATCTCCATCGTCGGGGTGGCGGCGCACCGCAACCCGCGCAACTGGCCGTCGAAGCCGAGCAAGGTCACGGACGCGGTGCACGACCTGAATGACTACGTCCCGGAGCGGTGGTACCGGCAGAACATCAACGGGGAGCAGACGGAGGACAAGGGTGGTGACACGGAGGACTACGGGGGGTACAAGGGGTCCGACACCAGCGAGAAGATGTTCCGGCCGGTGCGGGGATCGTACGTGCCCTTCTCCGACGGCCCACGGTCGTGTCTGGGGCGGCGCATTGCGCAGGTGGAGATTATCGCTGCGTTGTCTGTCATTTTCCAGCGGTACAGTCTCGAGTTGGCGGTGGACGAGTGGGCTAGTGATGCCGAGGTCGAGGCGATGAGCCCGGCGGAGAGGGCCAAGTTGTATAAGAAGGCGCAGGATAAGTGCCGGCAGACGCTGAAGACTGCGAGCACGATGTTGACGTTGAAGTTGCCGCATGGGACGACTGTTCCGCTGAGGATTGTGCCCAGGGGCAAGGAGAGGTTTGTAAATTTCGTGGACTCTGCCTAGATTGGGTTATGGTAGGGTTGGGGACCTGCGGGCGTTTGTATCTCTGTACATTATTGAGGTCGAAGATGTTTGAACATACCAATGAGAACCGGCTGGAATAGCGACTGTCTTCTGTCAGAGCATGATTATCAAGTGTATCAACACAATGTCATTTGAAAGCGATGATTGGATGAGACTGAATCTGGCGTCAAGCAACTGCCAATGTTGACCTTGGAACCCCGCGGTTGGCATGGCAGCTAGCTGGTGGTCATCACGTTCTTTTCCCGGCCTTCTTCGCGCGTGTGGTGTGAATCGGAGGGGGAAATCGGGCAACGTGTTATTGAAAAGCACGCATCATCCCGGCAAAGTCCCCAGACGGCTCATGTCGGGAGATCACCAGTAGTCGAGAGCAGTGGCCAGCGACTATGCCGTTTGTTTACATGGCTCTTGCCTAATTCGGACAGCTCCATTGGAGGGCGCATTCATGTCCCGTGTTGCCGTCGCGTCAGTGGTGGATATGAGCAGCCAAGAATGCCCCACCCTTTTCGTCATGACTGGCCAGTGCTTGCTGCTCCCGGGGGCCGCTAAGCCAGTCGCAACGTCCATCTGCAGCACCCGCACCGCTGTTGCAGCACATGCACCCGCTATCGAACTTCTCCGGGGGGCCCCTCCCCCCCCCAAAGGGTCTCTAGCTCCCTGTGTGATTGCGATTACCCTCAAGATGACTCGGGACGGCAGGAGGGAGGTACACGGTCTCAGTGCACGAAGGCGCACTCGCCCCGAGTCACTCGTCATCCCCTCTCCTCCTCCCTCACCCTTCTGTCCCTCTGAAACCCCCCAAATCCCGCTGCTCTCTCTCACCACAACAACAGAGTGGCCCGCTGTCGAGGACGGGAAAAAACATAAACAACGCTTCGACCAACTCGCTCATCCACACACACTACACCCTTACAACCTAGCTCAGCTCAGCCCAGCTACCCGTTGTCCGTTATCACCATCTGCCCCTCCACGTCCCACGATTATCACAACCGAAAGGTCCCTTCTCCCCTTGCATCTCTCCAATCACTGTACAAGAACATCTCTTCGCTCCAAGAATTAGAGTCGCTTCTTTTGCGCGATTCCTGTGATACCCATCTCAGTCGCCTTTTCCGCCGTTTCAACTACTAAACCATGTCGGGCGCAAACCCGTGGCTCGTTCGCCAGCGCAAGAGCGACTTGGTCGAGCTCGCAGAGCTGACCGGACTTACTGGGTACGTGAATCTTTGCTCTTCCCCCTCATGCGCCAGCTCGCGTCTACCGTGAGCTTCGTGCCTTTGCGCAAGGCGCACTCGACTGCGATTTGCGCCGCGATCGCGTTCTGCCGGACCCGTCGCGCAAGGCTACCTCTCGAGGCGCGTCGAACCACCCTCGATCACCAGGCGTATGACACCCTCACGAACCCTCATGGCTAACGGCCTGCTCCTTTTAGATATGAGAACCAGAAGAAGGTCGATTTGGAGGCTACCCTCGATGAGTACCTCACGGAAAACGCGTTCAAATTCTCTACCGAGCCGAAGCTCACTCCCTACTACACGAGCCGCGCCAAGGCAGCCGGGTCACCCATCAAGAGGGAGGCTCCTTCGTCGGAAGTTGTCAAGTCTGTGCGACGCAGGACTACGAGAGTCATCGAGGAGATCCGTCCCGAGTAAGTCGCAATGTCTGGACTCTCTGCTGCGCGATGCGCATTGCAGAGAGGAATCCACTCGCGCGTCCCCGCTCGTGATCGCGAACTAACAGACGCGTCTCTAGGCCTGAACCTGAAGAAGAGGAGGCTTCATCATCCAGCCCAGAGCCCGCCGCGGCCTCGACTGCCCTGGCTCTGCGTACGCCTGCCCGCAACCTCTCTCTCGCCAGCCGTATTCCTCTGCCCGCAACCCCTGCCGACGTCGCGGAGGCTGTCGACCGCCACACAGTCGCCATCCGGGAACGCGCCACAGAATTGTACGACCAATCTGGCATCCAGGAGGGTACTCAGGCCGTTCGCTCCTCTCTGTCAACGGTCACCTCCATCCTCTTCACCGTTGCTGCGTTCGAGGCGTGGAATCTGCGCGCCGAGGTTCTACCCCTGCGCTATGCCTTCACTATCCCGGCTATCCCCGCGCTAGGCACCAGCTTCTACCCAGTTTACGTGCCCGACGCGTTTCTGTTCGTGACTTCGTCTTTCTGGTCCCCGGTCTCCCTGTGGACCCTGACATCCGTTCTCATTCCGTCCTTGTTCGGCTACTTCTACAACTTGAGCGCGGCTAGCCACCCCCAGAGGCGCGAGGGCTCCGAACTCACAACAGTAGAGTACAATGTCGATCCCCTCGTCTTCAGCATCGTAAAGGCTCTCATTTCCTTCGTCGTTTACGGACAGAAGGTCACCTTTGGCGGCTGGATTAACGAGAACTCGATCGACCGCATCAACGGTGCTTTGTACGGCGAATGGAAGGGCATCCTTACAGGCGCAGCCATCACTGGCCTCGTGAGCTTGTACGACGCCGTCTTGAAGAAGTAGAGACTTCCTTCAGGTCACGATCGTGCAAAGTTGCCTCCCATGGACGCTCCTCAGCTTGTCCTGCCCGTCAGATCCAGGGCTCCGATCGCACCGGGTGCACGTGGATTCGGGCGTGGCATGGGTCGCAGCAGCGACACAATCTACGCATCTACTCCGATACTGCGAAGATCGACGCGCAAAGCTTAGTCATATCTTTTTCCTCATTTTTTCATCACTCGAGGGCGGCGTTATGAGGCGTTTGATCGGCGTCACGCGTGGCTCTTCGGCTGATACCTCTTCGTTTTCCGTACTGCGCTTGACGCAACTCTTTGAGTTGGTCTATCCCTGAAAAAAAGGGCTCTGGTCTGGCTGAAGTGGTCGTCGTTGTTTTTCACTGTGATTTGTATATCTGACCGGTGGTTTGTTGTTTTCTTGCCGGGATGTTCTAGGTGCTTTTTGGTACGCGTTCTGGGTTTTTCTCTTCCGAACTGGTGCAGGTTGATTATGGCATCACGTTCTAGTAGAAGAAGGGTCGGGGTGGCTGGCGGCGACGGCAGGCAGATGAGTTTTCTCCACTCACACAATTACGCGAGGGCGGTTTCTCTGGGAAGTCGGGGAAATCGACGGCACTGGTGTTGAGTAGAGTCATGGCAGATGCCTGGAATACATTGTCTTTTGAAGTTCTACAAATAAGTTTCTCCTTCCTCGTCGTGAACTCATGTCTGCCGCAGGAAGGTATCGACTGGGCGAGGTAGTCATTCGGGATTTCATCGCAAAGCTAACGAAGTGCCTGAGCTACAGAACTAGTTGTGTAGAGACTTCCTCTGCATGGTGACTTAGTCAAACCTTCAAGAGCTGCATGGTGTCGACGACGGCTGTCCTACTCTCACCTCCCTCCTCTATATCGATTACCTTAGAATATATCCGCTAGAGACTAAAGTAGTAATTATTTTTCCGACGTTCGATCTTTCAACTGCGAAAGACTTCCTGCCAAGCGCCCAGCTCAGAACATGAAGGATACATGTCAATCATTTGACTGATCTATGCTAGATGACACCATGAATAAACCCTGTTTATGTCTACTCTTTATACCAACTCGATTCAGCTTCGCTTTGCATCTGCAGTAAAGATACTGGATGTACAGCCTCCGAGGGCAAGTCTAGGAGGCCGATAGCACCAGCGTGAGAGCTGATGCTTTTGAGTATCAGAGGTTCTTGAATGACTTGAAGGTCATGCCGAGTATGTTTATCAGCAACTCTCTGCCAATCACGTATAACACTTGGATTCAGCTTCAAATCCCACGTTCCACGCCACCCAATGCAAGTATGACTAGTCTCCGCGCGGTAGAAAAACTTGGAAGCTTCCCCCTTGCGACCATTCCAAATGACCATTGTATGTAGATGTGGCATTGAAAGTGCTGTCATAGCAGCATTCTCCAAGAGAGTTTGTATCTCGAGACTTCTTGTTTGGGTGAGCATGCTCGATGTAAGGGTCAAGGATCTCATATGGCTCCAAACCCAGTCTTGCTGGCATGACCGAAAGAAGTCCCAGGCTTCGGCCAGGAATGCAACGAAGAGCTTCTCAAGACCAAGACTCCTTTTGGCGAAAGCGGTACTGACCGCGGGCGGTGTTACTCGGACTCTGTCAGGTCTCTGAATAAATTATCGCCCATGTCGAAGTAAGCTAATATAACTTTCGTTGGTCTCTTCAAACACCGATATTTGCTTCAGTGTTTGTGGCAAATGCGATTCAATGAGGCTTAAGTATTCTGCATGGCGAGAAGTTAGTAGGCATAAAAAACAGGTAGAGGCATAATATCTTACGAGGATCCCATATACGCTTCTGTTCGAACGTGTCCCAAACTTGCCATGGCTCAAGAATCAATGACTGTAGCCGAGGAAGGGCATCGAATAGAGCCCCTAGGGCTGTAGGCTCAAGATTTCTTCGACACTGCCGGCGGAGTATGAACCGTGTTGCGACCTTGACTCGAGGGAGGCTTTCTCTGAATTTCAAAGAATAAAGAGGCCCGAAAATTCGTAATAAAGCCATTTCGTCTGGAGTATCGACCTGACGTCCCTTTATCCAGCCATGCTTAGAATCGTAAAAAAGTCGATTACCAGACCGTTTGGGTATGAGATGCTCATGCTCGTCACCGCCACCAAAGTGAAGGTTCTTGAAATGATGCTCCTTATCACTCGGAGACTGAATGGAGAGCTCCAGCGTCAGCTCGGCTCCCTCTGTTACCGGCCACTTCGACAAGATGGAGAAAAGCTTCACGATTGCTCTTCGAACCACACGAGTGTTGCTATCGTGCCATGAATCACTTTCAAGTTTCGTACAACTTCGACATGTGTACGGCCTCAGGTCGATATTTAGCCATGCATGTCGAACAAGATGTGCTCGCCTTCTACCGACCATCGCCTTCATATCATCCAAGCATGATGTTTGTAGTTTTAGCCGGCGAAAACTTTCCTTCTCCAGTGTAGCCTGCCACTCCCGACAAACAGAAGCGCAGGCGCCCCAACCAGGAGTTTGTCGTGCGAGAACTTCAAGTATCATATGCCGCAGTTCCGGTGGTAGAGAACTCCAGGCCGGGACGTATGTCGGTGAAGTGGCATGGAGCTTGGAGCCAGGCATCGGAGCGGGCTGACTCGACCCAACCATGAGGGATGAATGAAGGCACTGGAGGATGAGCCGTTGGGCAACAATTATTCGAAGAAAGGAAACCCCAAAAAGGTCACCACCTGAAAAAACTGAACCTGGCGTAGAAAATAATTCATGTGTTGTAGAATCTGAGTTGTTGATCTGTTTTATCAAACGAATGTGTGAATGTGTGACGTTGAACGGTTGAGGGAGCCAAGCTAAAAATTAAATGGTTTGAAGATATTTAAATATCTGCTCATTCATTTTCCCCTTCTGTGGAGTTTTTTATGCTTCCTTATCGTCTACGAGCACGCCTCAATCAGCAAGGTAAAGACCACAGTGGTACCCGCCCTCCACATTCCTGAACTCAAGTCAGCTTTAGAATAAGATTAGAGCTTGACTGAATAGCCCACAAGTTATTGGAAATGAGTCCATTCTATGAAGAAATCTTAGGCTACAATCAAAAGTTGATTTGCGAAGCGGCGGCTGGGGACATAGCGCATGTCTGGTACGCTTCGAGCCATTCTGCAGAGCTCTCTTCTGGGAAACAGAATCAAACATTTCGTCACTGGTATATCTGCATTCAGGGCCATTCTATGTCTTGCTCTTACTCATCCATCTCTGATACAGAGCTGGGTCAGAGGACCGGGCGGCGTGGCTTTCGGAGCCTTGACGTGGGTGTTGGGCCGCTTTATGCCTTTTGACTTCTTTCTTATACTTTCGTATGGCAAGATACTGCCTACGGACACACGTTTTCGACTTTCGTATGACCCTGACGGGCAAATATGTGAGTCACCTCCGTCCCTTATATCTATTACCTTCGACTATCTTTGTCGAGTAATGACTGACTACTCTTCTTTCCCTATTTGACCCATTATTTCAATGTGCATAGGCTGTTGTGAGGGCTGAAGATGCACCCAGACATGCCTACTAACTGTCGCTGTTTCGGTATAAGTAGTGAGTTTTGCTGTCCAGACGGGCAGGAGGCATAAACGACAATAGGGACAACAACGATGACGACAGCGACAAAAAAAAAGGGACAGAGAAGATGGAGACATCAGGGACGATAGAGACAGTAGGGACGACAAGGATGACAGGGACACCAGGAACGATAGGGTCAATAGATATCTGTATTAAAGAACTATGCGTCCTAATGCAATAGTTACCCGCCCGGATGGCAAGACTCCAACTATTTTTCTCGGCTATTTAGCTTGCAAGAACGTCACTATTCTCTTTTCCCCCCAGTAGTTACCTAATAGAATCTGCTGTAAATTGTCATTCCAGAGAGCTCGATGTGCACAAATCTCACGATGCTGACCATCTTTCCGCCAACCGCTGACCATTTCCCCATTCATCGTTTCACACCTAAACGAGCCCGTCTTCCAGCATCTCGATCAAAACCTTGTTGACTTGTCCTTATGTATATGATCATACTTTCCGACAGCAATTATATCGGTCATTGTTTGTGCCTTCCGGGGTTGGACATAAGCGGTCGTTGGCCTGGGTGTGGGTCGCTGGCATCCATCCCAGCCTGCTTCTCCATGCAGAGCCAAGACAGTCAGAACAGCGTCATTGGCGGAGCGTATCTCAACTGGGGGTCCTTTCGGTTGTACTGCATATGCTGGTCCCGGCCGATGAAGAGCTCCATCTGATTTGCTGCCTGGTTGTCCCGCAATTGTTTACACGTTGGCACCGTGGACAGCTTACCGTCTTTCTCTCTTCCGCCTTGACAGTCGTCAACACACCACGGCAAGCCGGTCAAAAAAAACTAAAAAAAAACTCTGTTGCAGCTCTTGAATGATCAACTCAGAGACGAAGACACCAAGATCGAAGATGCAATGTCACTTTTACAGAATGACCTGAAACCACAACATGATGCAGTGGACGATTCCCTGGGAGAAAAGGATCTGCAATACGGAGAGGGCTTGCCAGGCTTTGAGGATTCCTTGGTCAGAGAACCAAGTGAGTTTCAACAACTCATTGTGGCTGGTGAGGAACTGTTGTCAGAAACTGCTCGACGAGGCCAACTTCTTTCGCATCCGGTATTTTGGGCAGTGATAGGTTTGTTGACCCCCGAGAAAGCGCATCGTTAGATCGATAGACCTGTACTAATATCGGCGTAGGAATTGGTCTGCAAGTATGGCTCGCAGCCTAGACACAGAGCTATCAGGGATTTTGATGTAGCAGGACATGATCAGCCGCTAATACAAGCTTGCCACATGACGAGACAGATACTCGTACCGCAGCGGGGGGGTATCGTCGATGACATGTAGTCTACGAGCGTCATCTTCATAAGGAAGATTAAGTGTTTCGGATGTAGCTGCAGTGGGATGCTCATTTAGAAGCGGCTAGTTTCTTATCAAATCATACTCATGATCAAGCACGGCTCGTTGACGTTGTACTGTGACACTTCATGAGATATGAGAAAATAATAGAAACCTTGTTATTCTCTTCGAAGCACTTTTAGTAGACCAATCCCTACAGTAGAAGCTCAATCGTAGTTGTATGCTAAGAAAAACAACATGATTATCTCCAATTGGAAACCAAGTGAGAAATAACGACCGCGCTCACATGAACTCGTGTAAGCACTCATTCGTAATTCAAGCTGAACCTGTACGGCCTACCAGGACAATGAAATAAGTTGACGGGAAAAAGGCCCAGCGTATGGATGAATGAATCAAGAAAACCCGACTTCACCGTGGTGCCCCATGGGTCACTTGATGGTCACCACAAAGGTTGTTTAGTTCTCTGACCCATTACCGGTTGAAACACGCACCATATTCAAAGGCTCCTATAGAATTCACTCTGTGGCATACCTGCCGCTTCCGAATTCCCGAACATATCACATGGTGACCTCTTACAACTCGCCCAATATGGTACAACCATCTCCTTGTCCACCGAGATATGTATCTGACAACTCTGTAGTTAGCCCGCCAACTCATCTCAAGGGTCACCCGACCTATCACACTCCTGCCTCACACCCAGCCCATCATCACCTCACGAGGCATCCACGCAACCCCGATCTCTCCCGCCAACGTCCAAAGGCCAGCCAACGATTCTAACCTCGTTCCAGCCGCCCCCACCGTAGCCGAGCTTCACACGATGATGAACAACCTCCAAAAGGGCGAAGCCGACCCCGTCGTCGTGCACAGAGCCCTCAAGGCCTACGAGGCCGCCTTCAACGCCGACAAGCAAAAGATACTCGACGGATTCAGGCAGCAACGCATTGAGATACGAGAGTCTCATGACGCGATTGACAGGGTGCTAAATAAGCTTCAACGTCTGCACCATCGTGTGTATTACTGGGACGATAGAATCGACGATTGGATGGCCAAGATGGACGCCACACCTGTGCCGGAACGTTTCGACTTTCGCCGGGTTTTGCAGGCGGGGCTTTGGATGCTCAGCGGCGGCACTGCTGTTTATGTATGGTCGTCGTAGCGGAAGACGTCTAAGCCGAAGGAGAAGGAGTGGTGTCGTTGAGGTGAGACTTATAGTCACCATGTTGTTCGTCATGTACAGGCCCTCATCCTCTGAAATGCACTGAGCACTTACACAAGAGACCGCCCATCGTTCCTATGATAGAGCGACTACTTTTCCTATAGCTAAACTCTACTTTACTGTCCTCGTCGGCGCTTCTATTGTCGCTATTGCCGTTGTCGTCGTCGTCGTCGTCGTCGTCGTCGCTGTTATCGTCGTCTTTACTATCGTCGTCGTCGTTACTATTACCGTCGTCGTGACTATAATCGTCATCGTTCCTATTATTATCATCATCGTTACTATCGTTGTCGTTATTACTGTTGTTGTCGTCGTCGTCGTCGTCGTTATCGCTATTGCTATTACTATTGATACTATCGTCTTCGATAATGGTAACTAAGTACATAGGAAACATGGCCGCGAAGACATAGGAAAATCAGTCGGTCCCTTGTACATAAGCAGCAAAGGACATTGTCTCCTCTCATGGTGATTTTGGACCCCAGGCCGATTCACATACCAGATAGGTACATCAAGAAGCAACACAGCATACTGAGTGCTGGACCTACACACCCAAGACTGAGGTCAAAAATGCTTGGCCCCAGAAAGCCAAAACCTATTTTCAGCACCGGACAAAAGACCGATAGCTGATCTTCCCTGGCGAATGAGGTTCGTTTTCGGGCAGAGATAAACAATGATTCAGGGCATGGTTATCTTCAACGCGAAACGTCCCGAAAGGGTCCGCAATCTATCCGTGTCAGCACTACGTCATCGCCCGGACCTCACCGCTCCAAGATCCAGGGACGAAGAAAATTGCGATGCATGGCTTATGAACAGAACGATAATGCTCGATATTGTATGTTCTATGGCAGTCTATGCTCATGATAGATAGCTCATCTCTTAAGGACCCAGCTGCTGTGCGTGTGTTGGTATGATGCTTTCCCATCTCATCTTAGGTATCTGTAGCCAATTGCAGATTCTCGGTGACTTGATGCAACCCAAACCTAAAGCTTCTTTCCTCATCTCCATGTAACCAGTAAATGAACGCCGTCCCATTTAACTATACAGATGTCTCTTATCTTTTTCTTTTGTAGTCTTAACTCCTCGCTGCAAACCCGGCGGCTCCTCATGGCCGCCGGTGGTGTATGATACAAACCCCGCCAATTATTTGGCGGGAGGCTGGGTAGGCTTTGCGGAATGACGTCCGCAACGATGAGGGTGCTTCGGTGACTTGATGGAGCAATGGTCGGCCGCATCCTCGGGAGCACGGCGGCCGTACTTCTTGGTGACCTCGCAGTATTCCCTGTCAGGACCCATCCACTCGCGCAAGTGGCGGTACAGCTGGCAGCGGTAGTGACCACACTTGCGGCAGTAGACCTGACCCTTCAGGCGCATGCCCTCAAGAGGGTGCGGTTGGCTGTGACCCTCAGTAGTGGGTGTGGAAGTTCCCGAGCTGGACTGCGGGACGCGGCGGCTGGCGAGGTAGAAAGCCCACTCCAAATCATTGGGTCCGTCGCGGTGGGACGACAATGGTACACTGCCGTGCATGCGACGGTGGATATCGTAGAAGTGACTGTTGGTCAGACCCAAGCATGCACTATCCATAGGATCGAGGTAGTCCATAATGGTGTAGTGAAGCTCAATGGGAAGATCAAAGATATCCATACGAGCCGAGGGCCGGTGGGTGCGTGGTGGCGGCTCGTACTCCATGACCGAGTAGGAGCGGCGTGGGGGCGGAAGAGGAGGCCGGCGAACCTGGGGAGGATGCGGCGCATTCTTCATCTCTGTTGCTGGGAGCTCGCCCTGCTCGGGAACAGAGGAGATGGAGCTTGAGTTGGATGTAGAAGATGTCTGCGACTCCATAGGAGGAGCAGGGTAAGGCGAAGCGTTGGGCGCCGGACTGCCCTGCGACGAGGCAACGGGTGAGTCGGTAATGGACCAGCCGCGACGGGGAGTGCGCCAGCCGCCGCGCTTCTTGTGAAGCTCGTCCTTGATGGCCTGGTGCTGGCTGATCTCCTTCATCATGGCATGGCGCTCTTCGCGGCTCATCATCTTGTCCTCCTGGTTAGATGCGATGCTGCTAGCAAGAATCATACGGGCCAGGGAAGCGACGTTGTCGTCGTGAGAGGGAGCGGCGTGGCCATTTTGGCCCGGGCCTGGGGACAGGACTTCGACCATTGTGAAGGGGCTCTGTGTAACGGCGGAAGAGAGGATGAGGTGTCGCCGACGGCCCGAGGAAGGCAACTATTCGACGATGGCTTGGATGGTGATGTGAGGGATTGGCAGCGACCAACCGCGTTGGAGGTCGGTGGTCTCGTGATGTGAGAGGGGTCGTTCCCGAAGGCTGATCAATTCACCTATGAGGTGAGGGGAAAGAAGTGGTCGTCGGGTAAAGTTTCGTGGGATCTGTATCGTTGTGCTCAGGCTGAGGGGGGCCTATGTTCTCGGACTCCCTGGATACTGGCGAGTTATTTTGGTTCAGGTGATATCGATGTTGAGGCTGGGCGGGCCAATGTCGTAGAGTGATGTAGTTGGTAAGCCAGATTGCCTCAATAGCAAGTTCATGAGTTGCGTATGAACCGTTGAAGACGGGGCCGGGAGAGGTTCGTTAGATATTTAAGGGTACGTCAAAGGCAGAGTGACAGGACCCTGAAGAGGCAAAGTCGGGTGCTGATCAGTTGTGTGGTCTTTTAAGGAAGAAGAGACGGGAAGCCCTGGGAGGAAAAGAGGGTGTGCGGTCGCGGTAGCGGTGGGACATGGCCGCGAGGGAAAAGCATGCGCTGCTGGGGACTAGTCAGGCCAAGAGAGCGCAAGCAGGGCACCAGCGAGCAGTGGTAGGCCAGATTAGCGGTGGGGATTGGGGGTCCAGAGTGTCACTGGCAACGCTGCGAGCTGCAGGCACTACGCCATAGTTGCCAAGTACGGCAGTAAAGTGGCCCCCTCGGCCCAGCGCCTTCCAGTGCCTCCCCTGATAACCTAGCGGGTAGCGCGAGGCACGACTGCTATTGCTGGACATTTCGCTGAAGCTGGCGCTAGGTATTCCCGGCCTGGGGAACCTCGCCTCGCATTGCTCTCTTGCAGCTGCAGCACTCTTCCGAACGTCTTTTTCTCTGTTTCCCTCGGTGACTGGCCCCTTCATCTCATGGCAGCTCGAAAAATGGGGAATTCGGTCATTGGCATCCTCGCGCGAATCATGGAGCATAACGTCCAATAACACATTGAGCAATAATGTCGACAATCCTCGCAGAAAAACACTGGAGAAGATGGAGATAGCTGACACCGGACTCCAGCTCTGTAACCGACCAAATCGCCCCTCGAGCCACTCAGCTTGCGCAGACACGCAGACAGGGCCTTCTGGAGGGTCTTTGACTTGCCTCTGTCCTCCACAAGTCCATCCATGGGTGAGGTAAGGTACGCCGCTGAGGTACGAGGTGACGGCGAACGGACGGATTCTCAGCGACGGCGCAAACCTCGAGAGGTACCGGTACTTGGCCGGCTACTTTCGTCATAGGGTCTCGCAGACAGGAAGGTGAGGATGTACCAGCCGATGGCGGTCACCGACGAAGGACAGCAAGCAACGTGCTGTGCTGCAGGGCAGTTCCGCAGCACCAACTCTGCGAATCGACAGATCCGAGAACAACGCTCGGCGCGTCGGAAGAACGAGAGACATGCGACTTTCTCACCACCTCACACTCGACACAACTGATATCGACGCAAGCCACGCCTGCCCTCCGACGAATCGATTCTCTGAATTCAGATCATGCCCGCCATCACCCCTCGTTTCCCCCTCAAACCAGCTTTCTTTTCTACCGACCAAGTAGCGCCTGGCGGGTGAGATGCGCGACACGACAGGGTGGTTTGAGGCCTGGCATGCTGTGATAGGTCTTGTGTCGTGTGCTTGGTGTTCTGGAACTGGCCAGACGTCAATGGCATGCAGCTACAACGCATGGAAACACCGTTATCGATGCGATAGAAGCATCAACACCCACACGGTTGCCAACGGCGGCCCGCAGACTTCCACCAGAGTCTAATAGCAGCAAAGACCAGAGATTCTCCCATCTTCCCTTCCTTCGTCCATTGCAACCCAACATGGGATGCCACACCGTCTGTCAGCCATCTGGTTGGCGCCCTCGACTGATCTGATCTCCTGTCACCGCCCAACGCAGCTCTAATTTTCAAGGCGCTGCATCAGTCGAGAATGATGATTCTTGCAACCACCAAGGGCTTGATCATGAACTCGGTCATGCAGAGCCGAAGCAAATCAGAGCCCAGCACCCCAGCCAGGCCGCCGTTGTTGTAACGCGGGGAAGCAAGACAGGTCTCATCCTGGGAAACATGGTCTCATGACCCCCAAAAACATGCCAGTAAGGCTGCCATCGTTGCACAGCTCTCAGCTATCATATCACCGCACCAAGCATACATTCGCCCATAGGCGTGCCATAGACAGAGGACGGCGTTGGGGCACAGCAACACCAGACGGCGGAAAACAGGGCGCTGCTTTCCACGCGATCGACAGCGTCATGCTCTGTGGTGCACTGGTCGTACATCTGCACCATCCGTGAATACCACCCAACGTGTGGGGGGACCACAGAAGCGGTGGCGCTTCTCTTCCATTCCAATCGTGACCTATCGTTGCCTGCCTCATCCAAGGGATTCTCCAGTCAACCCCAATCTCCGCTATGGAAAATCGCAACGAAATCTCCTACCCCAGCTTTTCCACGCGCATCGGCTCGACGGCCGTTCACGATATGACGATGCCCCACGGCACGTCACTGGCCCTGCAAAGAGGGTCCAACACCGGAGGAGCTTCCAACAGGCGGCCGGGAATCACAAGTCAACGAAGCTTGACCTTGGAAGAAACGTGGACGAACCTCTGCCCTGGGCTGCTTTCTCTGAGTATACAGAACGTATGGTCGAAACGCCGCCTGTTTCGCTGATCTGATCTGGCGCATCCTTCCCAGGCCACGTTCCCTCCATCGGCGCACACCGATCAGGCCAGCACAGGACCGAAGAAAATATGCGTAACCTCATGATCTGATCTCGCCCCTCACTGCTGCTTTCAGCAGCTGTGAGAGTTCCGGCGGCGCTCAGCATCAAATCTGGCACACACACGCCGCGTTTTTGCGCCTTGAATCTTGATGCGGGCGGGGAGATCTCGTAGAAGTCCCGGAGAGCACAATCCCGTTCAATCAGATCAACGTCCTGTGCCGATACTTTTTCGGCGTCGTTTTTTTTCGACAACCATCTCGAGAGTCGGTGCTCTTCGTTCTCTCCGAAGAGGGTGTGAAAGCCGTCAATGTCGGCGCCGGCACCGGCACCAGGACATCGTATTGCTCTTACTAACCACCGCCACTAACAAGCCGGTCCCAACGCTCAGGGTCTTCCTGAACAGCTGGAGGGGGTAACTGCAACCACAAAGTCTAAGGCGCCTCGAACCGTGGGATGGCCCTAAGCTACTTGGCGACTCGCGCCCATCCGCTGTGACGACGTCCCATCCGTATTGAGCTTACGGTATGCTCATCCAGAGCTGTCTGGCCGGGAAGTGACGCTTCTTCGCCAACTAGTCCGATTGGCAAAAAAGCCAAAGATGTCAGATCGAGGTGTGCAAATCGAGTGAGTGAAGTTGAGTAAAAAGATCATCAGGGTCCTGCGGTTTTTGGGCGTTACGGGGACTGACGTCGCCACAATGACATACGACAAATGGGGGACTTCAATCTGTGGGACCCATCTCAACTACTACAATTGCCCATCATGCAGTGTCAGCCATTCACAACGAGCCACGCCGAAGTACGTTGCAGAAGGACGTCTGGTCGTTAACGCTGCAGAACTTTGATGCCAAATTTCATTGAAACAGAAACCGGTCAGCCGCTGGAAGCGCGTACAGCACGTGAACTACTGCCCTCCCAGCAAGAATGATATTGGCATGGCTCAGATCTTATAGCTTAGATAGGGGAATGAAAGGCGCATTTTATATGGCATTTCCGCTTGTGCAGGGATGGCACACCGAGATTATTCAATGCGCCTCATTCGTCGGGCGGTGAAGACCACAACAAATAAACAATTCAGCACAGCAACCGAGGAACATGGCATAGAACGAGAAATGAGGCACAGAAGAGAGCTTCATGGTGTTATCGTGTTCCTTGTATACCATCAAAACTCCGGCTGTTGTAAATCCGATAGAATAGGCGTACATTGACCTCCGTTCGCCGTCGATGACCGACTTTTCGAAATGCATTACCAACAGACGTACTTCATCCTCTCGGCGTGCTTGCCATCCAATTTATATACCGTGCATGATCCGTCCTGGCCGCATTCAACCCCTATCGTTAGACGGGCGACCTGCTCTTGAGCATGCTCGTAGTCCGTCTTCCCTGGGCGGACGATCCTGCTTTTCGGGAAGAGGTTGACGGCTTGCCACAGGACCACTCTCTGAGCGCTTCTCCTTAGCGGTCTCTGGCTCTGAAGCCTGTGACCCGCGCTTCTTTTAGGCCTGTCGACTCTGAACATTCACCGCTTAGATAGCGACCCAGATGAGCATGATGACGACGTCCATTCCCTTGCCCTCGCCGCCATCGTATTTGTAGGACCACATGCCGTCCTTTTTCTCATCCCAGTAGGCACCCGTGGCGCTGTGCATGCCGCGGCGTCCAACGTGAGGCTTGCCGTCGGTACCGGTAGTCTCGGCGCTCGTGGAGATGTGCGGCTCCTCGGAGTTGGCGGTGGTGCCCTTGGACTTGTTCAGGGAAGAGGTAGGAACGAGGTGCTGAACGATCGTAGAGTTACAAGCGAATTTATAGGCAGGGGCTGATCCGCCTTGGGGAGTGGACTCGGAGATGACAGCCTTCAGGACGGATGACTGTTGCCACGGCGTTAGATTTCGGCTGGATCGTCCCCGAAAAGGGGCTTGGGAGAAGGGGAAGGAGCCTACGATGATTGCACTGTTCCATTGCTCGGTCTTCGCATGGTCGTAGAATTCCGCAGATCCAATTGCTGATTGGCAAGCCTGGCCATTGTGTCAGTAACTGTTGCTATTCCCAACTGGCGGTAAGGCAGGCGCTCGTTGCGCTGCTCGAGTGCTTACATCGGTAGCGATCTGCTTGAGGCGGTTGAACGCGACAGGCTAGATGGCAAGAGTCAGTGATAATTCCCAAATGCAACATTGGAAGCCAATGCGGCGGGGTAGTCGACGTACAGGCGCGGCGGTCGTCGGAGCGGCAGACATTGTGAAGATCGGATGTTTTGTTGATTCCGGAAAATCGATGAGATTATTGACAGAAATATCGTGATGTATGGAAGTCACTGTATCGATGTCAGCTTTGCTAGATGCGGCCAAGTTTTTCAGTCTGAGGGTGCGGTGTTTACCGGTGTAGATGTGGATGCGGTGGTGTTGTCAGTTGCGGAATAAGGCGAAAGATGAGGCTCCTCCACAAAAAGTTAAGGCGTCCCGTGTTGTGATGCGCAGCCCGATGCAAGCGCCTCGCGTCGCAACACGGGCCGTCCGGTCTGGCGCAGCTGCCGCAGGCCGGTGCGCGGGGCAACGGGTCACGTGCTGCTCCTTGCAGCCACAGTCTTTAGTCATCATGCAGAGAGAGCAGCTTGCAGATGGCCCCTGCTTGTGGCTGAACCAATCACCGCCTTCAAGGTTCGCACGTGTGGTATCTGCAGCAGTGATCCATGGCTCGTAGCTGTGGCTGGTGGAGAGCTCTAGCCGTGGCAGGCCAAGCGTCACAGATTCTGCGATGGAGCTTTAAGGGAGGCAAGAGGGGCCGTGGTTCCTGCGTTGCGTCTCTGTCGCATCGAACAAGCTTTCAAGCGGGTTCTCTCTCTCGGTTCGGTTAGGTTACAGGTCTCTGCTCTTTTCCTCTCTCTTTTTTAAACTTCGCATTCCTTTCATTCGACTCTCAATCTCCGATAACGACAGACCTTTGTATTTGGGTTCAGACGAAATCTCGAAAAGCTCGGCTCAATTGACGTTGTTTTCTTCGTCACACGAATACGGGGCGCCTCGAATACAAGCGACAAAAGCCGTTGTTATCCAACACCGAGTCCGAGCTCGAACGCACGCTAGACCAGCCCAGCCTCGCCGACGTCGAGCCGCGAAAATCAACTTCACCTCGTACGATCGCGATACGCATCGCTGCCAGAAGATCCTCGGTCAGGAGAAAGCAGATACAACAGAACAACCTCCAAAATGTCCAGCCAACCTCTCCTTCAGACTGCGCCGGGTATGTCCACTTACAACACAATCCGTCCCTCTCGGGCATACCACCGCGAGAGACCCAATCGTCGTGATCTCCAGCTAACCACCGCCGCCCTCGATCCAGGCAAGCGCATCGCCCTCCCGACGCGCGTCGAGCCCAAGGTCTTCTTCGCCAACGAGCGCACCTTCCTCTCGTGGCTCAACTTCACCGTCATCCTCGGCGCCCTCGCCATCGGCATGCTCAACTTCGGCGACCGCCCCGCCTTCATCAGCGCCTTCCTCTTCACGGGCGTCGCGATGCTGACCATGATCTACGCCCTGGCGACATATCACTGGCGCGCCAAGTCGATCCGCGTGCGCGGCCAGGCGGGCTTCGACGACCGCTTCGGCCCCACCTTCCTGGCCATCATTCTGCTGCTGGCCGTCGTCGTCAACTTCGTTCTGCGCATAACCTACTCCTCCAAGGAGTCGAAGCACTAAGAGCGACCAGCCGTTGCTGAAAGCACGGAAACCAAAATGTTGGAGAATAAAAGGGGGGTTGTTTCGTATCGACTGGCCCGGGCAGTTGTTGCTGAGTCGCGTGAGTGGTGATTACGACGAGCCAATGTAGGTCGGGAGGGTAGCAGACGTTGGAGCGCTCGCTTCTGCACGTCGAAGAGTGTGATTACTTTGGAGTTGAGGGAACATCTGTGTTGCTCGCGTAAAGTGAACGATGTCAAAGTCTGCGCGAGCGGACAGGTAAAGAAAAAAGTGCATTGTGACCATGGAGTACAGGTACCGGGAGACTGCATCAGTCCGTTCCAGCGCTGTGTAATTATCTAGCAAAATATTCTCTTTTTTCGTCTCTTGCGTCTGTCTGCAATTCCTCTGACTTGGGTATCAAACCGTGAATGTCCCTTTTCTCTGTCCTAACGCCCAAAGATGCAATCATGTACATGGTGCCGCCCAGCTTGTAGCAGCCTCTGGACCGCTATCGAAACCTCTTCTGCCATCTGGTCTCCCCCCATCTGGTCTCCCCCCTTCTGGTTTCTGGTGTATTTATGCGTCGGTGGCTGCTGCCTGACCTCCCTACGTCTCGTTGGTTTGCTGCGTGACGCCCTCCTGGGCCTTCAGCTCAGGCATGGGCTCTAGGGAGAGGAAGATGCTGAGTGACTTCGGGGTTCCTTTCTTCGGCTGCGGCATCACCGCCTTCTCGAACCGGCTCTCCATGACCTCGAAGTCGTCGTCGTCGTCCGTATCGTTGCCTGTTCCCCCGCCGCCGAGCATAGTCTCCTCCACGACCTCCGCCTTGGGCGGCAGCTCGTACATCTTGTTGTACTGGTACCACCGACCGCCGTCCTCTTCCGCCACGATGCGCTTCACCTGCTCCGAGATGGTGATCATCTTCCCCACCTCGCTGGGCCTGGCGTGCAGGAGCACCGCCCGTTTCCTCGCGTCCCCATCGTTCTTGCGCAGGTGCAGCAGTAACCAGGTCACACGCTTGTGGATCTTTGTCGAGGAAATGGTGAAGGCGGGAAGCACGTCGTACTTGGTTCTCAGCTCGGCAAGGAGGGCGTCGTGAGGTACTGGTGTTCCAGACCCGGCCGGAGACGGCTTGTTCTTCTTCTTCTTCTGGTCCTCCGACTCGACCATGATGGGCAGTTTTCTCTTCTTGTCGCCTCGAATACCCGCGGCGGTGTCCTTAAGCCCGTCCTGCATTGTCGGCGTCTTTCAGCATGGTAAGACCAGTCTTCAATGCTTCGTCGTCGTCGTTGTCGTCGATGTTTGCGCGGGGTCCGATGTGGTTTGTCGACGGTGTCAGTCCGGCGAAGGATTGATGGCGATGAAAATATGCGGCGGGATGAAATCTGAAGTCACAATCTTATCGGATAAGAAGCTTTGACCAGGCACCTAGATTCGGAGCCGATGACCGAGCCTTCGATTCGACAGTTATGTAAGCCATCCCACTCGTCTAAGTTGACAAACCAGATTGTCTGCTCCCTCTATTGACGAGTGTTCTTTCGATTCTGTGCCGCGCAACCGCTCGGTTCTCTTCTAGGAACCAAATCAAGTCGAACGTCATGATCTGGGCTGCGCAGATCTCGTGATATAGCACGTGATCTACAAATCCATGATCTGCTCTTCAAACACGAGCTTTCTGCCGTGGTCGGGGACGCTTAGCGTCCCGCGGAAGCAGGAAGACTTCACCCAGACGAGTGGTGCCGTCCATTCATTGTGGGTCGTGGCTTTTCGACTTCACATGTTTGATGTGGCCTGTGCAGAAGCACGACTCATCTTACAATGCGCTATGGTTTTGATTCGCTGGGCACTAGTTTGGGCGTAACCGCTTGCAGCCACTCGCAGACCCCAGGAAACCGACATCGAGATGCCGAGAATGGGGATGACCCAGGATGGGCATTCGATGAACCCGAGCTGGCCGTGAAGGGTAAGAGGGTAGTTGCGGTGCAAAACGTCCCGCATCGACAGAAGTTTGTCTTGCGGACTGAATCATGAACTAAACATCGTCTCGTCATCTAGCAGATTCCAATAGGGTCTCCCCGAGATTCCAAGCTTCCGAGATGCAGCATGCCGGCCGAGCTGCAAAGCTGCGGTCACATCGATCCGTTTCGCCCAGGAAAGCCAGAAGGCGCCATTCGGCTCCCGGGATGGGGCCTGATGCGATATCGACGTCTCTGCTAAAGGCAGGGATGTGCAGCAATAAGCGGGTACTTGAGCTGTCGCGACCTTGGCCGGTGAGCCGGGGCTATTGGATGTTGCTTCCGCGGAGGGTCGTAGCATGCCGGGGCAATTGGATTGGTTTATTGAACAGAACTTGGGGCATCTCAGCGAATGGCACTTGGCGGGACTTGTACCTCGCTAGCAATCTTCAGGTCTGAAACCAGAAATGGCAAAAGGCAAAAGCTGGGCACGTCGGGTGGCGTGGCGCATTTCAAGCGGCCACCCATGGTTTTAGCGCGTGTCGCACCCACCCACCCGTCCTCTCAGTCCTCGCGTGCGTGGCCTCGGCCGTCATCAGGGTTGCAGGGCGTCCCGAAGAACTGCGAGATGCGAGGCCTCAGAGGCTGATGGAGGATCAGAGTGTTTGATGTCAGGTTGCCTTCAAAGGACGGACGGGTTCGATTGCGAGGCGAGGAAAAGAAGGCGGCGAAGAAGGGCAGTAGAAGCATAAGAAGCAATGCAGAAGCATGGCCGTCCCTTGCTGTTGAAGGGTCCAGCTTTCATGTCATCCCAGGTGGTTCCCAAATCGCTGGGCTGCGGCTTCATGTCGGCTTGCTGGGAAACTCTGATGCTGATGGGGTATTCAGAAGTCGGTGTCTGTTCTGTCGTAGACACTAGACCGCCACGGCATCTTCAAGCCCAGCCGGAATGGCAGCGCCGCTATCCAGACGAATGAGATGCGAGTCCGCCAAGTCGGACGTGGAGAAGAAGGACGTGGCGGTGGGAGCGAACAACAACAGACTGTCGTCAACAAATAAAGGATTTCTTTAGTTGTTTGCATTCGTCAGAGAAAGGAAAGACGGTCAGGTCATTTTGGGTCTTGTTGAATTGATGGGGAGAATGCGCCAGCCGACGCCATTGCCTCTCGCGGATGTCAACAACACGGATCCATGGAATTGACGGCGGGAAGCGCACCTCACATCAAGCAAGCAGCACACTGATGTCGTTGGCAGGAGCAGACAGGCCGGAGAAGCGTGGACGCGCGCACTGTCGCTTTAGCGTTGAAGTCGCTGGAGGCCCCGACCCCAGCGGGACGGGACTAATCAACAGCAGAAGCTGGAGGCATTCGGGTTCATTCCCACGCCTCTAGGTTCCTTAGCTCTCTGACTTTTTATGTTTACCACACCCCAAGGTCGAGGAGAGAGACATGGCAACACACCACGAGCTTTCCCCGGCTCCTCCTCACTAAGGAACCTTACTGCCGCCCTAAGCAGGTTGGGTAAGTCGGCTTGGGCAAAGTACTTACGGGCAGTGAAAGTGAAAGTCAGCGTGAGGGTTGTTAGTCAGGTTTGTCGTTAAGACACTTATTGAAACCTTTACAAACAAAACATGATTGAAGTAAGGTAGATCGACAGCAAGGCCTGTTGTTTATTGCGCAAAGACGAGCGAGAGCACGAGCGGGCCGTGTCTTTTCGCCAGATGCTTCATGGTGTTTTCCTCGTTCATCCGTCCTCCCCTCCGTGCCGGATTTTCTGTGAATCTCTTTCTCACATTTCCATCTTTCCCATCCGCTATCATCAGAAAAAAAGGGGGATCCCTCCAGATAAATCTCCACAGCAGCTGTGTCCCGTATCTTGGGCGCCCACCCTCTGTCCCGTTCTATTTTCGGGGCGGCGATAAAACACGCAGTGCAGCGTAGCCAGCGACCCGGCTGCGAGTTGCTACAGACCGAGTTCCCCCGTCCGTCTCATCATCCATCCATCAGACACTCAAGACAGACAGGCCAGACACGGACGCAGACGCAGACAGAGCGGGAGCCGGGAGGAACAGCGTGCGTCCCATCTCGGGGTCTTTGAGGGTCCCCTCTGACTTTTTTATTTTTCCTTTTTTCTAGATCCCAGATACCCTTTCCGAGTTCAGTGCGCTGCCGCTGTCGCTGTCTTCGCCGTTGCCGACGGTCTGCTTTGCGTCGTCTAGCATCTGGATACGGCGCATCCACGCCCTCGTTCTGACACGTCCACTATCGGCCTTTCTCTCGCAACAGAGCGGCAATCAAGAAGGACCTGACTCTTCGAACTGTCCGGGTGTCTTTTAGGTTGTGTCGATATCGGGTCTGGCTCCCTGGCGTCGTGTCCTGTCGTCGTGGTGCCCTGTCCTGTTTGCCAGTCCTGGCCGGAGCGTCCTGTCGTGTTCCCCACCCCTGCTTTCCTGGGCTGCACCTGCCTGGTTGTTGCTTCCCCTCCCTGGGTTCCCTCGCCTTCTTTTCCCTGGCGGCGGTGTCCTGTCTCTGGGTCAGACCAAACAAGCGCATTCCCTCGTTCCCTCCTGCTGTCTCCCAACTGGCCAATCAGAAGCAGCAGTCGCGGCACAATCCTTATCCACACCACCCACACCTCACACCCCGTCTCCATTTATGCCCCCCCTTGCATTCAATTCACAAATTGCCTTTTCCTAGTCAGTCGGTCCCTCACATCATCATCTGTGCCATCTGCACCATCAGCACCAAAACCACCGCGCCGCGCGAAAGCACCACCGACCACAGCACCAACGTAACAGCAGCAGCAGCTCTGGCACCCACAATTTGTGCAGAAACAGAGCCAGAGCGCAGTCAATCAGCGACACACAAACCACCACAGGCCAAGGCCAACCAAACCAGTGTGCCAATCCGCGGTCCGCAGCAGTTGGAACCCGGCCAGTCACCCACTGGAAGTGTGCCCACCAGGAGGTATCCAACCGTCACAGTCCCGCCGCCGTCCACCTGGGCCTCGCTGCTGTCCATCCATCCACTCATCCCACCGCCCTCTTTCTTCGCGGTGCCCGTCGTCTCTTCTGGCTGCGGTGTTGTTTTCGACGGTCGGTTCTGGTACCTGCTGTACACTGCAGTTACCTTACTCTGGCCCCCCCAGGATCCACGGCCCACCCGCACTCGCAATCACTCCCCCCAGAGAGGCCAATTTCCCACCCAAACCTGCGCAGGTCGCCCGCCCTTCCAGAAGAGCAACGCAGAGCGCCAGAGACGAGACCTCCTGGGTTCCTGCTCCCCCCCGCCGGCTTCACCTTATTCTTGTTGTTGCTCCTTCTTGTTGTCGATTTCCATCTCCAACATCTCCCATCCTCCTCCCAAACAACCCTCCTCTCCCCCCGATTTCAGCCCAGAAAACAACACCGTCCGCCCGACACAGAGAGAGCACTCAGAAAAGGCGTCGCCCTTCTTTTGCTCGTCCGTCTCTCTTCGCGCATTCATTTCCGCTCCGTTTTCCTGCGCGATATCGAGGCTTTCATTAGTTCTCGATTATTCTGCGTCGCTGTCCTCGCTGCGCGACCCGTCGCAGCAATCCCATCCCTTTGATCGCCTTGTCGCCCATCTCGGTGCCCGGCTTTCCTCCTGCCCATTTCCAGCTTCTGAGGGGAGCGCCCGACCACATCATCGCGCGCACACTCACTCGCCCCTGCCACCCCTTTTCTGGCCCCATCCACCCAAGCAAGGCCAACGACCAAACACACGCCCCTCGCTCGACGCACGCACGCCCGCCCGCCCGCCTGCTTGTCGCCCACCGCATCTCGCTCACGCCGGCTCATCACCCACGGTTTACGTCAGCGACACCCCCAGCTTCGCTCTGCTCAGCTCAGCACCAACGCATCCCGCATTGCACCTCCTTGCACTTCGCGCGCACCCGCTTCTCTGCATCACGTCGCCGCAGCTGCCTGGCTCTTCCGCCACTCGCTGCCACTGCCACCTCACCTCCCCCGTCAGGCTGTCGTCGCCTTGCGCCTCACCTCTCGTCACCTTACACTGCATTAAAGGTCGCCTGCTCACCCGCTCGCGACTTTTTCGTCTCATCCTTCTCTCACTCACAGAATCTCTATGTTCCGGTTCTGGGGTTCAGAGCGGGGAAGCGAAACGACTGTCGGTATCAGCCATCCAATGCCGTCGCTCGCGCAAAAGCACCAGTTCATCCTGCCGCATCCAGGTGCAACAACGACGTCTGTCTCAAGCCCGGTGCGCCCTCAAAAGAGGCGGCTTTCCAGCGTTGACGCCTCTTGCGCGCCAAATGTTACCTTCATCAACACCAACAGTGAGCAGCCTGTGAAGCGGGCAAAGCAGGAGAGCAGCAGCCCTCCCATCGCTGACATTCCTGTCTGCGATATGGCTACGCCACCATCGGCGCCTGCGCCTGCTCCTGTGGCTGTGTCTGGGCCTGCATCTGAGCCTGCACCAGAGTCCAAGCCTGTTCCCGCGGTGACTAACGACATGGAAGACGCGTGCGACGCGATCCAGTATCAATTTGGTCTGGAGATTTTGCTCAAGCACAACGAGCTGAGGCTAATCAACCAAGAGCTGGCCAAATGCCAGGTCGCCCTTGAGCAGCTTCGCCGATGCCATTTGATTCCTTATCCTACCACCTGCCCCACTCCGGCGCAGATGCTGGATATCAGCAGCGGCAAGGGTCCCTCTCTGCAGAATCGCCCGGGAGAGCCCGTCCCTCAGTGGGCGGCGCCTTTTGGAGTCGTCGATGGTCCTTACGCCCGACACTACGCCAAGTGGCTCATCCCTGATCCCAAGTTTGACGGCATGCAGCCTGAATGGTATCCCGTGCTTGACACTGCCCGTAGCAGAGGCTCGGCTGAGGGACGAACGACGAGAAACAGCATGTCTGACCTCTCAAGCGCGAACAAGAACCGGCCGGTTCGAGGTGCGGCTGGACAGAAGCTCCAGTCGCTGTCCAGTGGTTATCCTCAACCTAAGGAGAAGGCTGGGCCTTGTGTTCTGAAGCGCTCCGATGGGCAGACCGTGAAGCTCGTCTGCTTGGACTGCAACCGAGAAAACTTCAGTAGCACGCAGGGTTTCATCAACCATTGCCGCATCGCTCACAGGAGAGACTACAAGAGCCACGAGGAGGCTGCCGTGTCCTGCGGCCAACCGATCGAGGTCAACGAAGGTGGTGGCGTCGTTGGGGAGGAAAAGCCCCCGCCGCCAGCTCCCGCTGTCGCTCCCGGTCTTGTTCACCCGTTTGCCCAGTCCGACATGTCTACTCAGCAAGCCTACGTTTCTTTGCGCTCAAGGATCGCAGATTCGCTCAAGCTGTACCGTGATGGCAAGCTGCCTGGTGTGACGAGCATCCCCACTGTTCCGAACGCTGAGTCCGCGAGACACGCCGTTCAGAACGGGGAGAACTTCGTCGGTTCGGCTGATGTCCCCTTCCTTTCGCGCCTCATGCAGAGCAGGAACTTTAACGGCAACCTCCGTGAAATCGTTGGCGATGCCAAGGAGAAGATGTCGTTGGATGATGTTTCTTCGCCAGGAGAGGACTCGGAAGAAGTCGAGGGTGGTCTCAGTACTCCAACAGGTGACGTCGGGCCAGCCGTTCGTGTTCCTTCCACTACCATGCGTGTTCCAGCAAGAGCCGTAATGTCTCCTGTCGTCCCGGCGCCGACAAGGCCGACGAGCAGCAAGGGCAGGGCGACTCACTCGGGCTTCGCATCGCCGCCTATGAGCAGTCCCGACAAGGACGAAGGGCCACGACTGATGATGATGGGTGACGAGGACGTCGACATGGTCGATCTGAGCCCCAACACAATGGTCAGCAACAACGCGCCTTCACTCGTCAGCGACGATGGCGAGTACGACGACTCAGATGATGGCTCAGACTCCGGCGTGAGCGACCGCATGGATGCCGAGTCGGTGTCTGATGTGGCCGAGATCACTCTCGATGAGGATCATGAGGGCCGACCTCTTCACCACCGGGGATCTAGCGGCTCCGGTACCACCATGCGTCTGAAGAAGGACGAGAACAAGCACGTCACCTTCGTTACCCCTGTCAACAACAGCGCGAAACGAGCCCGAAAAGTTTAGGGTGTTTTCGGTTTCCTCAACGACCGTAAAGGCCTTTTGATTTTTGCATCAAGATTCCTCCGAGGCCTTATTCGCCTTACTTTTGCCGCCACAAATATTTTCACTTGCTTTCTTCTGGCGACCAAGACTTTTTTGCGCACAAATACTCCCTTTAGTCGACGAACTTTTATTTCCTCCTTTCTTGCACTCTTCTCTTCCGACTCTGCGCAACCAGGGGTCTTTGGTCAGGCAAAAAAAAGCAGGCTACGGTGATGTGGCCAGAGATGGACAATGTCACATGTTAGAGATATGAAACGGGCGTCACGGGTGTTGGGAAGCGTCTGCCTTTTGCGTATGCTTGTGGTTTTTTTCTTCTTTTCTTTGCTTGTAGACTTTATACTGTTACAACTTCCTTCCCTGGATGACAGATCCCTGGGAGTGGAAGACGCGTTCAGGAGGAACACGAATGATGGAGAGTCTCCCATGAGGGGATGCAACGCTAGCAAGACAGCTGTAGGATTCAAGGACACCCGTGTTGTATCATAGCGATTGGAGAAAGAGGCTTGATGAAAAACATGATGATAACAAGCTCACGTTGAGCAACCATACATTCATCCGATTAGTTCGCACGTGACATGTCTCCAGTTGCTGGTAATTTGTGTGCCATTGACTTTGGCGCATTTCCACCGGTGACGTTGGGCCGGGCTTGGCCGTCCAACAGCCATCCCTGAGATGCCCCAGACGTTTATGAAGATCACCAACAGATGGATACTCTCCACCATTTTCAAACGAGAAAACTCAATGATTGCATTGAAGCGATAAAGTAATTGTCTTGTTTTGTTGCATATATCGCGCACTATGTTTCTGGTTCCCTGCTCTTGGCCAACAGGTTTCTTGTAACGCAGACGGGTCGTCGCCTTCCCTTTTTTTTTTTCGGCGCCCTCACGTCCGAGAACCCTCGCTGGAGCATAGGTATATCAGANTTTTTTTTTTTCGGCGCCCTCACGTCCGAGAACCCTCGCTGGAGCATAGGTATATCAGAGAGAGGCCTTTCTTATGAGACATGGGACAATAAGCACATGCAGGACGGTTCCTTGCTGCTGCGGGTGGGGAATGCGCGCGCAAACCGGCACGCAAGTCAATGTGCAGGTTAGATTCTTGCCATGTTTCAGAAGAATGTTGCTGAGTCAACACATCTCCAATATTTGTTTCTCTCTACGGATACTACTGTGTCTTTATTACCCTACGGCGGTGCATAGTACGTGGTGTGTGTGTGGCCCAATCAGCGACGGTGGCAGTCTTCGGGAAGATGCAGGCAATTGCATGTGTGCAAGGGCAGCCGAATCAATCAACGAAGCTTTTTCGGAGTCCGGGAGTCGGGTTCGTTCCTCTGTCTCTGCGAGGACGACACGGGGGGACGCAAGGGCCATTGCTAGATAGAGTTTTGATGCGATGAATGATTGGTGTTTCTTTCCCGTTTGATGGGCAAACTCGGGTGTCCCTGTCCTCTTTCACGTGTGTTCTTTGTCTTTTGGTTCATTGTCATCCCATGTTCTTCTTGTTCATGAAATTCGGCTGGATTAGGTAATTACAAAGATTCTAACCATGTACAACAGGCTTTTGGTGATTTCATCACCCCGTGCCGTCGTCGCTATCTTCCCTGCTTCTTCTTATCCTAAGAAGTGGCAATGCTGCAAAAACCTCCTTTTGTTTGCCGGGAGGAAAACATAGTCCCGTCCCGATCCCCATGTGAATCATTCCAAATGATGGCCTTGCACCGCGTGTAACATTATCGCTTGAAAATAAGACGTGTAAATTGTAATGATATATTGGCTTCCTCTCTAGCTTAGAAATCGCTTAGAGGACGGCGGCAACGACACCGGCGACGGCGAGGAGGACGCCGCCGGTGTTGCGGGCGAGCTGGCCGACACCCAGGTTAGGGGTGCTGGTGGCCGAGACGGAGGCGGTCGCGGAGGCGGAGCTGCCGGTGGTAGGGGTGGCGGTTGCGGAGTTGGAGGCGACGGCGGCAGTGGCGGAACCGGAGGCTACGGAGGCGGTCTTGCGCTGGGCGGCGGAGCCGTAGAGGGACGCCTGCTGGCAGAAGATGGTGACCTGGTTCTGGGCGGACGAGGCGCGGGCGTCGTTGGGGCAGTTGTTGTAGCAGGTCGCGACGGCCTGGTAGGCGGCGCACTGGCAGTCGTAGTCGGTGGCGGAGCAAGCCTCGACCTAGAGGGGGAAGTGTTAGTTGTTTGTTGTGATACAGAGCAGAGCTGCGTCTCCACGCTCAATGGATGTTGAAAGCTTACCTTGGCGGTCTCGGAGGACAGGCAGGTCTCGACGATGGGCTCGGCGGCGCACTTGGTGTCCTGGGCCGCGACGGCGGCAATGAGGAGGGTGATGGGGAGGAAGAACTGCATCTTGACGGTTGTTGTGGTGGAGTGTGGCGTTCCGAGGAATCCGATTATTAAGAGTAAACCTTGTTTTGTGGTCGTAACGACAGTTGTTATATCCAACGAATGTGGTGCGTAGTCCGAAAACTTGCTTGCGTGTAGATAGCGAGTGACTTGATGAACCTCAGAGAGGGATCGTAGCTTATTAGGTTGTTTGGGTCGGGGAGGACGGGGAATAAGCGGTGGGTTCGTGGAGGCTATTACGGTAGAGGGATGGGAGAAGGAAAAGAGAAGTCAAGAGACGGGTGGTGGGATGGGCAAGAGGAATATTAAGTAAATTAGGGGAGTCCCAGGCAAGGCAATTTCATCACAAAAAAAACGTTGTATCCGTATTGATCTTCCTGGGGGGCGTGGGCGGTTGCGTTCCCAGTCGCTCACTCTTCACTCTCACTCGCTGCATCTACTGGGGGTGGGCGAGACGGGGACTAAGGAGCTAGAACGAGGATCGCGCAGAAACCAGCGAGGGGAAGGGGGTGGAGGGCTACACTGACTAGGCCGAGGGGGGGAAACGGTGGCGCGCGCCGCTAGCGAACGGACAACCAAAGGACTGATGGGCCAGAGAGACAGGCAGAGAAAGAGAGAGAGAGGCCGCGAGACACGGAGAGAGACGCAGGCAGAAGCACAAGAGGGCTTTTTTCTCCGGCTGAGGAACCAACGCGAGTGGAGGAGAGTGATGGGTTTACGGGTTATGAGCGGGTCTCTCCAGGGGTCGTCTTGGGCCTGGGTTGACGGTCGAGTGATGGAGATTGATGAGGCTAACGAACGACCCATGGGGGCAGAGGGTAGCAGCAGCAGCGGCGACTGTGAGTGTGCAGTGCAGGTGGTGCGGTACCCCGTCCGTCCTCTGCAGCTCGTCAGGAAAAGGAGAGTGGATTTTGGGGGAACGGACATGGTGATGGCGTCAAGCCCCGGTCAGACGGTTACAGGAGCATTGAGGAGGAAGAGAAGCGAGACGGGGCCACTGAATCAAAACCAGACCGAGCATCTACTCTAGGAGAAGGATGCCGCGGTCTGGAGACATGCGCAGAAAGAAGGAAGGGTCAAATCATCAAAAGATGCTGGTGACCTACCAACCTGGAGTTCCCATGCCACTATCCATACCATGACATGCCCAACCCCAGCCCAGATCTTCCCACTTTTGATTGTGAAAGAGCAGATGGCTGCTGCTACGGATACCACCACCACATGTGCCCATCCTTGCTTGAGCTCTGCGGGAAGGGACGGACGCCGTTGCGCGCACCGCGCGCGTCCTTTGTGTTTCTCAGCTTTCTAGCCCCAAAGACGGGTGTTTCTGGAGAATCGAATCGGGTTCTTGGGGTTTCTTTGATAGGAAAACGGGGGAATGCCTACAAATTGTTGGCAAAGGAACCGACGGCTCGGGGCTGAGACTAGGCCTTCTGGTCCCTTCCCCAAGGTCTGCCGTTTGTCTCCCCTGCCTCGTCACCCCCCTCGACCAGCTTTGTTGTGAGGGCTTACTCTGGTTCAATGCAACTGTGCAGAACCAGAAGTGATGATGGTTCGATATGACAGAAACGGAGAGAAGGTGCACCGCGCACAGCAGAACGGCCGACGGAAAACGAGGTTCGAAAAACGGGCCATGCGAACATGGGGCCCGGACGTCGAGATGAAGTCTAATCTTAGGGGGCCAGCCCCGATATGGCAGACTGGTGATTGGTTGGGAGCAGGGCCATCAGCCCCTGGTTGGCCCTTTTTTCTTTTCTTTCCCGCGGGCCAAGAGAGAAGGGGGACAGCAAATAATTGGACCAGGGGGGGCGTGCGGCTTTCGAAGACGACCTTCGAAGGATGGGGTTACACCGAGATGCAAGTGCCGTCCGTGGCGGCATGTCCGTATTGGTTGGACAAGAGTCGTGTTACTTATATGCTGTCGTGCAGAGACGGATGCAATGCGAGTGCAAATATCTCTCTAGAGAGGCAGAGCTCGTGGAGCAACACAAATCGTTCAACGTCAACCGTCAACGTCCATCAGTTATTCCTTCTGCACGGCAAAATGCGATGGATGCATGCATGCACATCTGATCTCAGACGACGCGGCCGTCGCCTGTCGTCTGGTGTTTTACCTGCAGCTTTGACCCTGTCGAAGAAGGTCGCGCACGGCTGTCGGGGATGGCAATAATTGGGATTATGGCCTATTGGGGAGAGAGCGTATCTGTCTGATCCCAATATTGCTTCATCAGCTCGTGTGCCTTTTTCGGGCAAATATGAAATAACACAGCGCGTTGCTTTTTGACTGGTCCGGTCCGGCCGCAAAATGTGTCGTTCTTGGGCCTCGGGCTGCTTGCTGGATGGTGTTGTGACTCGTGTCGTGTCCAGCGTCGTGTTTCTCGTGTTGTCCTCAAGGCTCGCTGCGCCCCGGTTATTCTGGCCCTGCTGATTCGCCACTCGCATTCTTCCATATCATGGGTGTTGGTTGTTCGATCGACTGCTAAGGCGGGTAGTTTGGCGTCGTGGAATTTCTCTCCACCACGAATTCTAGACATTTTCTTCAATGACAAGATTCCGATCCGGGCTGTGGCACTAATGGCTACACGCGAGTCTTGAAGTATGCGACGAAGCCCTCTGAACCGCAGTCAGGTTCTAGACTCTAGAACCAGTCATTCATGGAGGCAGGCTAGATTTCGGAGACGACAGCAAGCCCAACACGCTGCATGTTCGTCTGTCGTGTCGGTCCCCCTCTGCCCCATTGCTGACGGCCTAGGTGGCGCACTTTCTCTAGCCTTTGCTATTCTTGCTCCTCCGCATATCCAGGGTATCCGCTTCATGCAAGTCTTCGTTTTCTGCGTGGACGGGCTACGTTATGAAGAGGGGACGTTGGGGATGTTGTCTCACAGAACCAACCACTCACTCTGTCCAGCCACCATGCCTGCTGTTTTTCCGAGGCTGCAAATACGAGGTGCATTAGCTGCCGGGGCGGCTGGCGTTGCATCGCGGAGGCAGCCTCCGGCGATGCGCCACTCCCCGCTGCAACTGCCACCGAGGGCCCGCCGAGACCGGCAATCTGAGTGATGCAGTGGGATCGAGACTGTCAATTCACTGTCGACGCCAACGATTCGTTCGAAGGCTGCGGTTCAAGATGGCAGGCCGTCTCCATTTGCGGCTCTCCTTAGAAATACGGATATCTGCATTAAACACCCATGCCCTGTCCTTCTACGGGTCTGGATGCGCGACAGAGGGATCGACGTGGAGACAACCTATCAAATGGCATCCCCGAAGGTATCACGGCTCGCTGCTTTAGGTTGCGAATTTAGGTCCGAAGGCAGTATAGGCACATCCGATTCGTCGGGTATCATTCATGACTAAACCAAGCCACAACGCTCAAATTGGCCTGGAGGCCCTTCTCCTGCTGCATCGTTCATTATCATTAGACACATTAACCACAGCCGGGGATCTTCATCTTAAGTGCCGGTAAACGGGCCGCCACCGGAACCGGAGCCAGCTACATCTCGGACCTATCGCCGGCTCAGCTGCCTCTTCATCTCCCCATTCTCCCTCTTCAAGACCTCCAGCTGCGCTTCCAAGCCCTCCATCCTCTCCGCCGCGCCCATGCTCATCTCCTCGACGACCTTGACGAACCTGAACAACCGGAAGACAATGACGAGCGAAGCAATCTCCTCAACGATGCCGTGCGACAGCACGTCAATCACAAAACTTGCTATGATGACGACCCCGTCGAGCAGATGAAACCAATCCTTGAAATATCTGGGGTGGCCGTTAGTTATGCCGCAACGTCAAGCACCTTGAGAAGACTTACCGGAGACCAAAAGCAAGCACGCATAGCATCAGCTCAATCATGAACATGCAGCTGAACACGAGGCCGGCGATGGTCAGCCCTTCGCGCGTGTCTTTGACCCAGGGCTCGTCCTCGCGCTTCATGTCGCAGGCGACGAGCTCGATGAAGATATTGGCCAACAGCGCTGCCACGTCCAGCGACACCAGCGCGAGCACCGCGTAGTGCTTCGTGCGAGACGAGAGGATGTCCTTGAGGCTGGTGCGGGACTCCCGGAGATGCTGCCTGAGGGGAGCCGGCCGGTTGGTCTCGCGAAACCCGCTGAAGCTCCAGAGCAGAGGCCGGATTGCCTCCTCCTCGTCGGTCGCCATCGCTGCAGTTTCAGGCGTCGCCTTCTCCGACCATTCGGAACGGCGAGAAAAATGGCGAGATTTGATTTCCGGAGTGATATGTTTCGTGTGTTTCTTTCGGCGACGCGGTCGCAGCCTTATCTGGACGGAGACCCTGTAGAGTAGGAAGCTCACGCGCGCGGCGCAAAAAAATAAGAAGGCTGAGAAGGAAGCCCAAATGTGAAGGTGCTGGGCCGGGCCCGCCGATGCGGTTGCTGACGCAGTGTGTCTTCGGCGACGTCACACGTGGGCGACGACAACGGGATAGGCGAACCACGGGGTCCTGAAGGGCTGACTAAGTGCAGCACCAACCTCCTTGGCAGGTAAGTTTGCGAACTTCAGACCGGCTATCCGGCCACGAGGACGAGGCTCCGGGGGGTGGATGGGGTTGGCTTCGGTTATCGTCGTGCCGACGAGCTCCCATGTTTTGTCTGTAATTCGTCGTTGCAGTTGCCGTTTGTCGTTCGCTTCGTCCTCCCGAACCGCCGGGGCTGTGGAGCGCTCTCGGGGCTCCCCCGTAGCGGAGGACGGGCGACCCGGGGCGACTGGGGGATCGAAAGTTTGGGGGGCGATGCGAGATGCGATCTTATTGCGAGTGCCCAGAGGCCAGGCACTGGCTCGGCGCTCTTTGGTCGATCGCATACACGCGCTCCCCCGCTATGACAGCACCTGTGGGAATTTGCAATGTAACGTGGTCAGGGTTCGAGCATGACGTAAGTTTGGGCATTGAATCCTAGGAGGTTGATATTGAAGATGCCGAGCCAATTTGATATACATTATAGCACGGGGAGAGAAATTCAGCGAAGGTCAGCCCCAGGTCCTTACCACCGAGC